GGGACGTAACTTTGTTTACCCCACGTGCCAAATAGCGGGACCATTCGTAAAATAACGGATGTACCGACAAACGACACCTGCTGTCATAATATGAAAACAAAATATTGCAACTCGCATTATGCTTACTGCCAACTGCTTAGTGCGTACTGTAACATGCGATTATAATAATGCTATCGTTGTCATCTTCGTTGTCAATGCGCACTGATCATGTCTTGCATTATATTTGTAATAAGTGAATATATGGCAGCATATGAATGCAAAGACACGTCAAATTCGCCCAAGTATTGATAAAAATCAATTATTTTTTGTGAAATAGTGTCGACAATATGTAAGTGGCAGATTTATAGCAAATTAAAGGTACTTTCAGGAACTTAATTAATTACCATTTAACATCTAGTTATATCAAGAACAAGCAAAGAATGTTATCTTAAACACCGAACATATTATACGCTGTCCTTAAAAAAGATGCAATTAAACATATAGCATATTAAAATATGTGAGTTTAATGGTTCAGAAAGGAACACATGAAGTTGCGATTACATGATAGTGCATTCAGTAATCATAATGCATGACTGTATTCAGCAATACGTAGGTTTCCATTGTCATAAAGAAGTATAGAATCAAGCATAATGTAAGTCCAAAGATTGAATAAATGCACTAATTCTGTTCCATATTATTCGATTTACCCACAGACTTGTGTGAAATTAATTCACATACTTTTTAACATTTTTCAATATTTTCAATTATTGTCATGCAAGCTTCAGTGTGTGGCAATACCACGTGACATTGACGTCATTTTCGGCATCAATACCAAGACAAATGTTGCTCGATTCGGAAAAGAAAATAGCCGTAAATATGTTATTTCTGTACCAATTTCTTTGGGATATGCACCAGTCTACGGGGGAAAAAATAAGCTTTCCACAGAATATTGGATCTTCGTCAGTTTATAAGCCGTTTTATCAAACACTTTGCATAACATTGGAAGTTGCTTGTATTAGAGCGGGCTTCAGTTGCAAGCTATTTCGTTTTCTGGCGTTATCTGGTCTACGCCATGATTAAAAAGTCAGGTTTACATCAACCGGGAGTACGGAAGGCAAAACTCTACCTAAATATGTTCATATATATGAGCGGTATTATTATATATGGGCCTCGTTGAATGAAATAATAGTATGCTCTTTAGACTTTCACAATGTAATCTTATATTCAAATCATACTGAATATGCACTCCTATAGGCCTATATATAGATCTATATTATAAATTTCGAGATTCGTTTTTTTTCACCGCCATTTACATTTTGTCACACCTGAATTCCCTGTCTAAACCATAATAAAGTTTCCTTTTAAAAGGAAAGGCTTGCACAGTTGTGCCTTCATAAAGTGTTTATTTAGTTGTTTTTTTTTTCTTGTAAAAACGAATATTTTTTGTCAAAACAATTTGAAATCTATTCTCTATTGTATAAAACTTGTAAAGAAAATAATCAATCATAAAAATACTAACTATTCTATCATACTGAAAAGGAAACAAGTGTGAACATTTCATTTCCAGAGAAATCATTCGTTTTGGCAGTTGCTAATTTCATTTATATAGCATCTTTATGGACAAGTAAATGCACTAAAATACTTCGTTACGTGGTACCAATTAATAAGCATGTATCAACTATGTTACACAACCACAGATACGGTAAGGTTAATGATATGCATGGGCTATTTTAAGATTACCTCACTGCGTTCATTAGATCTAAATATAACTCGATCATGCACTAATATTCTCTGTGATTTGGTAAGCAAGACCACCCTTTGGAGACGTAACCATCCTCTATTGTATAAGGTATATATGTTAATTAATATACAAAACTAATACAGACAAAAACAATTATAAAAGAAACTGACTTTTGCGTCTTGAAAAAGAATTGAAACGTAACAATTTCGTTTAATTTATTACGGTTTAAACCGATAAATCAAGTAAAAATAGAAATCCTATTTATATAAACAAACTGGGATTACTGAAGTAACTAAAATAGCTTAGATTTCCGTAATATTACTTCGTCTGATTCCGCAGTATGACGGAATCGCCCGAATTGTCACGATTGCAATCGGAACTACATCGGCTATAATCATTAAACCGAAGAGTGACGGAAAGGGCCAAAAAGTTGCGATTGGCACGATTGCAGTTGGTTTCTCGTTCAATCATGCGCTAACAAATGTAAGCAGGAAACCACCTAACCGGAACAAGTTTTCCAAAACAAATGGGCTTGCAGCCGTGCAGCCAAAAAATAAGTATGATGCGCAACATATAATATCTATTTTTAGAATTAGCAATCGGATTTCCTCGTTCATTGCCGTATCGTACGGAAGCGTCCTGGTGCCAATTCATAATGTTCTATAAAAAAATAAACTCCTACGTAGGAGATAAAAAAGCCTAATTAGGAGTTTGTAACTCCTACGTAGGACTTTTAAACTCCTACGTAGGACTTACAAAGTCCTACGTAGGACTTTATAACTCCTACGTAGGACTTTATAACTCCTACGTAGGAGATAAAAAAGCCTAATTAGGAGTTTATAAGTCCTACGTAGGACTTTTAAACTCCTACGTAGGACTTTTTAACTCCTACGTAGGACTTTATAACTCCTACGTAGGAGATAAAAAAGCCTAATTAGGAGTTTATAACTCCTACGTAGGACTTTTAAACTCCTACGTAGGACTTTATAAGTCCTACGTAGGACTTTATAACTCCTACGTAGGACTTTAAAACTCCTACGTAGGAGATAAAAAAGCCTAATTAGGAGTTTATAACTCCTACGTAGGACTTTTAAACTCCTACGTAGGACTTTATAACTCCTACGTAGGACTTTTAAACTCCTACGTAGGACTTTTTAACTCCTACGTAGGACCTTATATCTCCTACGTAGGACTTTATGACTTTATAAGAATTGCATACAGAATGCTTTGCAAATCTCAACATTCCGGACCGGTATATCGGCGAAGGAACTAGACACTTACCCCCCCCCCCCCTCAAATCTAAAATGTAGAGGACATTTCACCTTTGGTTCATACAGAATTTATTTAAGTTTGATTGTGTAGGAAGCTATAAGCTTATAGACACACTTTCGAATCCGTTCCTGGAACCAACCAGTACGTACTTAGCAATGAGTGTAAAGTTTCTTACTCAAGGAAACAACGGCTTGCGCTTAACGGGGTTTGAACCCATGCGGCTAGCGATCATTAGGCTACTTGTCACACGGCCATGCCGCAACACTTCACCTTTTAATAAAGTGTCTCAGGTTTCTAGAGTGTACAGTGTCTTAGGGTGAGGTGTCTGTAAGCATTGGCGATGTATCCCGAAGAATTGCTTTACAGCTATTCGAAAAAAACTTACTCGACATCAAGCATATATATCAAAATTTTAAAAGGCTTTAGTGATTACGATTTCAATACGAACTAGCTGACCAAAACGAGCAATTTATCTATTTTCGGCCGTTTCAAATGATTAAATCCTTATAGGGGGGGGGGGGGGGGGGTAGTGAAGTGTCTTGTTCCTGCTCCGTAAAGTTTAAGAAGATAACGGTTTGCGGAGCATTATGCATGCATATGTTTAATAATGAATTACATTGTATATCCTACTCTGAACAAAGTTTAACCCATACATTTTGTGTACATGTGTATAATAAATATAACTAAACGTACATAATACAGACTCATCGTTTAATATATGCAGAGAATGACAAAATCATCTCTGGCTACAGACTAAAGGTATTTACTAAAGTGGCTTGCCACAATTACAACTTGACACATATAAGCCGCGCCATGACAAAACCAACATTGTGGGTTTGCGACCAGCATGGATCCAGACCAGCCTGCGCATCCGCGCGGTCTGATCAGGATCCATGCTATTCGCTATCAGTTTCTCTACTTGTAAAAGGGTTTGTAAGCATGGATCCTGATCAGACTGCGCGGATGCGCAGGCTGGTCTGGATTCATGCTGGTCGCAAATGCACTATGTTGGTTTTGTCGTGGCGCGGCTCATATAATTTATTTTCCAACATAATATGCTATCTTAAGTTATACTCTAGCATACATGTCCGTCGAACTCTGTGCTTTCAGTTCTTTGATATGTATTCTACGTAGGAGTTATAAAGTCCTACGTAGGAGTTTAAAAGTCCTACGTAGGAGTTACAAAGTCCTACGTAGGAGTTATAAAGTCCTAATTAGGCTTTTTTATCTCCTACGTAGGAGTTATAAAGTCCTACGTAGGAGTTTAAAAGTCCTACGTAGGAGTTATAAACTCCTAATTAGGCTTTTTTATCTCCTACGTAGGAGTTATAAAGTCCTACGTAGGAGTTACAAAGTCCTACGTAGGACTTATAAAGTCCTACGTAGGAGTTATAAAGTCCTACGTAGGACTTACAAAGTCCTACGTAGGAGTTTAAAAGTCCTACGTAGGAGTTACAAACTCCTAATTAGGCTTTTTTATCTCCTACGTAGGAGTTATAAAGTCCTACGTAGGAGTTATAAAGTCCTACGTAGGAGTTATAAAGTCCTACGTAGGAGTTTAAAAGTCCTACGTAGGAGTTATAAACTCCTAATTAGGCTTTTTTATCTCCTACGTAGGAGTTATAAAGTCCTACGTAGGACTTACAAAGTCCTACGTAGGAGTTACAAACTCCTAATTAGGCTTTTTTATCTCCTACGTAGGAGTTTATTTTTTTTATAGAACATTATGAATTGGCACCAGGACGCTTCCGTAGTATCGTTATAATAAGTACTTATAACTATTTCATTTAAGTACTAAAACTATTCTGTTTCCACGATTATTTACAGGCGTCACTTGCACAGAAGAATGACAGAGCCAATAAGAAACCCAGATATCAAATTTACACAGGTAAGTGGAAAAAAACTTTTTAATTTCTCTCCTTGTAGGTTATTAATAATTGTGTGTACATTTTTTCTACTTTCAGTTTCATCAATGTTGATATCAGAACTAAACACACAGACGCTTGGGGTTTGGAGCTCAAAACGCCTTTAAAATCCAAATAAAATGCATATTTGTCAATCCCAGGACATGTACTGATCATATATATCAAAAAATCTTAATATATGCCGTTTTGAAAAAAAATCATATTTCAACATCTATAATAATACACAAGATAAAAATGTTCGCCGGAAAAAATCCGCACCCCTACCGTCATAATCACCATGTATTTTAATCCATTTCCAATATTTTCACATAATCCTTTGGTCCATCGACACAGAAGATATAATTCTTCACGATGATGGTCAATTTTAAACTTCAACGGTAATATAAACAACGCAACAGCCGTAATAAACATCAATATTCTCGCCGTTTTTTTTCAACGACAAAAACTTTCGATAAATTCAATGGACCAGACGGCTATGAACGAAGCTATCCGATTATGTGGCCCCAGCTTTGCCGTGTGCAAAATGCGCAGCGCTTTTAAGTTTGGGAACCACATAATCGGATAGCTTCGTTCATAGCCGTCTGGTCCATTGAATTTATCGAAAGTTTTTGTCGTTGAAAAAAAAACGGCGAGAATATTGATGTTTATTTCGGCTGTTGCGTTGTTTATATTACCGTTGAAGTTTAAAATTGACCATCATCGTGAAGAATTATATCTTCTGTGTCGATGGACCAAAGGATTATGTGAAAATATTGCAAATGGATTAAAATACATGGTGATTATGACGGTAGGGGTGCGGATTTTTTCCGGCGAACATTTTTATCTTGTGTATTATTATAGATGTTGAAATATGATTTTTTTTCAAAACGGCATATATTAAGATTTTTTGATATATATGATCAGTACATGTCCTGGGATTGACAAATATGCATTTTATTTGGATTTTAAAGGCGTTTTGAGCTCCAAACCCCAAGCGTCTGTGACTAAACATATGTAAATCTCGCTTAAACATGTATATATTGTTAAAAAAAATAAATCATAAATCAATCGCATCATGTAGCCGAGGAGTTCTGATTGGTCTAACGTCGGCACGGCCTATAGTATATTTTCGCCCTATATAATATCTGTGTCAATCATTATTGACCACCCAGATATTATATTGATACAGTTTGTGGCAAATCGGTGATATCCAGACACGTACGTGGGCCTCAGACCCTGTCAATCGTCTTGTTCCACCCATTAACTATTGCACGAATAGGCACTTATGGCAATCTCATTTATGTAAATTTTGTTTTGATACTATTTCAGCATGAATTGGAAGATAATAAACGCATTCCATTTTCCACAAACGCTCATTAAAGTTCTTCTTTAGCAAATGCAACAAGTATTCAAAAACGTTATGTGATAGTACCATGTGAATGTACCTTGTTAATGCATCAATTATACAATGTACAGTAAACATTAACAAACATTTTACTAATTCATACATGTAACATAAATTAATCACTCTTCAGTGCCGTAGCCAGACCTGAACCCCCCCCCCCCACACACACAAAAAAAACGAAATAGAACGTGAAATGAACATGAACAGATGTATTGTCACATATAAGCCACCCATAAATTAATTGACATTGAAAATTAATTTATACCATAAGGTAATTAATATTCATATCATAAGTTAATTGATATCATAAGTTAATTGACATTAAAACGTTAATTGACACGATAAGTTATTTTTTTTTAGAGAAGTTAATTGATAATATACTAGTTACTTGATTTCATAAGTTAATTGATATTATTAGTTAATAGATATTATAAATTTATTGATACATCATGAGTTAATTGATATTATAAGTAAACTGTTATCATAGGTTAATTGACATTATAAGTTAATTGATATCATAAGTTAATTGACATCACATCATGAGTTAATTGATATTATAAGTTAATTGATATCATAAGTTAATTGACATCACATCATGAGTTAATTGATATTATAAGTTAATTTATATCATAAGGTAATTGACATCACATCATGAGTTAATTGATATCATAAGTTAATTGATATCATAAGTTAATTGACATCACATCATGAGTTAATTGATATCATAAATTAATTGATATCATACTTAATTGACATCACATCTTTTCAGACTCTTGTTTCAGATTTTCATCAATAATGAGTGGGTGAATAGTAAAAGTGGGCGTGTCTTCCCAACAATCAACCCATGTGACGGCAAGAAAATATGTGACGTACAGGAAGGTGACAAGGTATATTGCTTGTTAAATGTTTAGACTGAAAGCTTTGGAATAATTTTCTTTATTAAAGTCGCCATATGAATTATACTGTGTTGGTGCACTTAAACCCAACCCCAACCCATCCCAAAATCCCAACTCTGAAAAAATACCATTATTATAAAAAAAAACAAAAACAGTGCTTATTACAAAAAAAGAGTAAAAGATGGTCCAGATATATGGCATGTTAGTACTTTTTCCATGTTTTCAGAAAAATGTAACAGTTTTTGGGAAATGAAAATAATAGCATTTTTTAGTTTAATGGGCATTTAAATACATATGTGCTATATGCATGTTATCATAGATATTTATAGACACCCATTATATTTGTCATTTATGAAAATAGAATCAAACAAAACAGGATAAAAATATCAATGACTAGAGTTAAAAGAAAATTGTAATGATAATAATTACCTTATAATTGAAAACCCATCATGTTGTAAAAGTTACACCTTTGAAAGAAAGGCCTATGAGTTTTTTTCTGCGCTGTTCCTGACCAATTTAATTTAGAGATGCTTACTAATAAACACTTAACTATTCAAAATGTTTATTTTCACTGTGTCTTATTTTTACACAAATAAAGGCATCAAAACGCAATGATGGTTTATGCCGATTGGGGAAAATGAGCTTTGTTGATAAATCTTATTTTTCAATCAGTATGGTTTTTCGGAGAAAAACATTTTACGAATTCAAATGTATGAAAAAATTGTATTGAATTTATCACACAGGATGATATCGATGATGCTGTTAGCGCAGCACGTGCAGCGTACAAACGTGGCGCCCCCTGGCGTAAGCTTGATGCCTCTAAGAAAGGACAACTCCTGAACAAACTTGCGGACCTGATGAAACAAAATATCTCGTATCTTGCCGTAAGACCTTTACTTTAAGTTTTTAAAATATTTATAAAAAAAAGAAGAAAAATATGAAAATTTAAAATGCATTATTTTTTATGTTAAAATTTGTTTGCATTTGATTCTGTTTAAAAAAGGCTGTATAATTATAAAGCCTTCAAGCATTATTTTCAAACTACATGACCTAAGTGTATTCTTTCACAGAGTTTAGAAACATTGGACAACGGTAAACCGTTTTATGATGCGGAGGAGGACATAGTGTTTTCCATCGAAACATTGCAATACTACGCCGGATGGGCAGACAAAATTTGCGGGAAAACAATCCCAGTTGGTATGTAGGTGATATATTTATATACTTTCCCTTTGTTAAAGAAAAGTCTATCCTTAATTAGATTAATTTGTTTGAATGGTTTATAAATAATATTTGTGTTATTGAATATTAAATCAAAACTTCTAATTAAAATCTTGTTGATATGATTGGTCGATAACTTTATAAGTAAAGAAGAAATTTTTTTCCTGTTCAAACAGATGGTTCATTTTTCACGTTCACAAAACACGAGCCTATTGGTGTCTGCGGAGCTATTATTCCGGTAAGCTATGAATTGTCCAGCGTTATTTTAAGGTACATGTTTTATTCCTCAATCTATTATAACATTTTATATAATTACCTAATTTACATAAATAAAACCTTTTTCCGGGAAGCTACAAAAAAAGATCAATATTCTGGCTAGCTAATAATGGTAAATAATGGATATCACTTATCATGAACCAGACAGTTTTTAGCTCGACTTTTCTATGAAAAGGGGAGCTATCCTACTCGCCCCGGCGTCGGCGTCGGCGTCGGCGTCGGCGTTGGCGTCACACCTTGGTTAAGTTTTTCGTACCACCCCACTTTATTTCAGAAGTATTACAAGTATGGCTTTGAAACTTACCATACTTGTTCACCATCATAACCTCCATCTACAGACAAGAGTACATAACTCTGTCAAGGTTTTTGACAGAATTATGGCCCTTTTTTGACTTAGAAAGTGTATTGAGCTTGGTTAAGTTTTTTGTACCACCTCACTTTATTTCAAAACCATTGGAGGTATTGCTTTGAAACTGACCATACTTGTTTACCATCACGACCTTCATCAACAGACAAGAGGACATAACTCTGTCAAGGTTTTTGACAGAATTATGCCCCTTTTTGACTTAGAAAATACATTGAATATGGGTAAAATCCACTTATTGCCTTAACCCTTTGAGATATTGCTTTGAAACTTTTAATGCTATTTCACATCATTACCCCCATCTGTACGCAAGAGAAGGTAACTCTGTCAAGGATTTGTTTTTAAAAATTAAGGCCTTTTATCGACTTAGAATCTTGGTTAAGTTTTTAGTACCAGTCCACTTTTTGACTGAACTGTTTGAGATATTAATTTGAAAGTTGGAATACTTGTTTACAATCATGATTCCCAAACATGTCCAGGAGAAGGTAATTCTGTCAAAGATTTTATTTGAATTATGGCCCTTAACTGTCAATGTTTTGTATTATAGGCAAGCAGTGTTCAAGGGTATCACACAATTCAGTAAAATAATTCTTCACTAAATATCTTAATGCTCATGGCCATTGTTCACTTTAAAAATACAGAGATTCTTGTATTGCCTTTTACTGCAAAAACTTTTTTTATTGGCAAGCAATAAAAAAGTCGAGCGCGCTGTCTTACGGACCGCTCTTGTTATTATCCCTAACATGGCACGTCTTTCGTAAAATTTAATGAAGCTGTAGTGTAAGGGAGACTACTCGTATATTTTTCTAGTAAAATGCTCGACAGATTTAACGTTATTGGGTCTATTTTAACTAGTGGAATTACCCGATACCAATGATGATATGGAAGATTGGACCTGCACTGGCATGTGGCAACACGATGGTCCTTAAACCTGCAGAGCAAACCCCACTCACTGCTCTGTATTTATGTTCCTTGATTAAAGAGGTGAGCTTTCTTTTTATAAGTTCTCACTAAAATTCTTTTACATATATCATCATAATCTCTGTAGCTCAGAGTATAAATAATTTTGTTACTTTAGCTAGTGTAAAATTATAAACATGAAAGTTCTTGCCACGCCCAGTAAGATAATGATATCTTGATTTTGCAATTGTGCTTTTCTTTCATTCTTGTTGTGTTCTTATAACATGATTGCTACATATACAATTATTATAGATCCATTTCTATATCGTTTAACAGCGCTTATTTGACTAATAATAATAATATTATTATTATTAATAATAATAATAATACTTTGAAGGCATTCCTTTCTTATTCTAATGTATAAATTGGATTTTGACGGTGAATATAAAGCTCAAATTCCCAGTCATTTAACTAAATCTGGCCTTTTGGTTCATATTTCTTAAAATCGAATTTTCTCAAGGGTAAAATGAGAAAAAATATTTCAGTTTTGACTAAACTATGATATAATATTAGATGTAGTTGTCTACCCATTTCCAAAATGAATATATATGTGATTATTGTTCATATTTTGTATAGAACGTAATTTATCTTGAATATTTTAACCAGGCTGGTTTTCCGCCGGGGGTAGTGAACGTTGTTCCCGGGTATGGCCCAACGGCCGGTGCGGCAATCGCGGAACACATGGACATAAATAAAGTGGCATTTACCGGTTCGACAGAGGTAACAATAATGTTTGTCTACATTTGTATTTTACATGTATTTATTTGTGTAAAATAGTATATATTTATTTCTTATGTAAAGTTTTGATAGGATTGGAAGAACTGTGTGATACCATAAATAATAATATGAGCCGCGTCACGACAAAACCAATATAATGGGTTTGCGACCAGCATGGATCCAGACCAGCCTGCGCATATCTGCTCAGTCTCAGGATCCATGCTGTTCGCTGTCAGTTTCTCTACTTGTTACAGGGTTTGAATAGGATTTATTATCAAACAGCATGGATCCTGATCAGACTGCGCGGATGCGCAGGCTGATCTGGATCCATGCTGGTCGCAAACCCATTATGTTGGTTTTGTCGTGACACGGCTCATATTATGTTGATAGTATTACGTATCATACGTGATAACAATCTATAAAATAGCTTTGTATTGATGTTGTTGATAAGTGTGAGATATATGCTCCTCACAGTGTCGCCACTATATATGGCAAATAATTTATATATATGTATTGTAAAAATCTACGATATCAAAAATATTTATAATCATCATCATCACCACCACCACCACCATCATCATCATCATCATCATCATCACTACAATCTTCATCATCATTTCTATCATCATCATTATCATCATCATTACCACCACCACCATCATCATCATTACCATCGTCATGGTCTTTATTATTTAAGACTCGTTTTTTTTCTGTTAGTAAAACGACCAAGTTGTCTTACGACTCGATTGTTTCCAGCTGTGAAACGATCACAACTGACAGTATTTTAATTGTTCAAGGTCGGCCACCTTATCATGCAAGCGTCTGGAAAATCAAACTTGAAAAGAGTTTCACTAGAACTTGGCGGGAAAAGTCCGCTCATCGTCTTAGCAGACGCCAACAGTGAGTGTTTTTTTTATATATTGCATATCAAAATTCAGTACTACCTTGTCTCAATTGTGACACTTATCACTGCCTCTGATGTGTATAAAGTATTTAAGTAAATGACTAACTAGATAGTACGAAAGACCCGTGGGGACATTTCAACTTTCTGAATTCCCGATTTCATCTCTGTGAAATCAAGTTTTCAACATACGGAATTCTTTAAACTTCATGAATTTGCGAATATGAAATCGTTAATTCCTTAAGTTGAAATCGTGAAGTTCAAAATGTGAATTATGAAGTTTAAAAAGTGAATTCATATAGTTGAAATCATGAATTCGCGAAGTTGAAATAGTAAAGCCATGGATTTGAAATATTGAATTCATGACGTTGAAATCGTGAGTTCACGAAGCTGAAATCGTGAATTCATGAAATTGAAATTGTGAATTCGTTAAAATCCAGAAGTTGAAATGTCATCACCGGTATTTCGTAAGATAACTAACTATTTCTCAGTGAGTTAAATACACTTGCTGACTTGTTTATGTTTATGTGTTCAAGTAGTTCGTGCTATATACAATGTATATAATTATGAAATGAAGTACAAGTACATGTAGTTGTTATATAAGACGATTATGAATGAACAAAACAAACAACATCACAAAAAAATCCAACAGTATATATAAAAAGCAACGAAAAGTATTAAAAATCAAAGCACAGAAGGCGCTGAATTTTGTTTGGGTCTCAGAATGTCAAAAAGGTGAAGGTTGTGAGATTATAAACCAATTTGTTTTTGTATAGTGCCACCAATGCTTTCCAGCGTTTTAATTGTAGTAAATTGGCTATAAGACTAATTGCAACACTGATATTCAATCCAATGTTTATTTGACCTAAACAATTTGAAAAAAAATGAGTTGCCTTTAAAAGGATTTGAACTCCAGACCTCTCGCTTCCTGCTTCTTAAGCGAGCGCGCAAACCCCTCGGCCACGGAGAATTTATATATTTAGTACCTGAAGAAAACCATATTATTCTAAATTAGGGTTTGTAACGACGCTAACTGTTGTTTAACACAGATGTAAATAATCATGGAGCTTACTATAAGCATGTATATCTATAATGAATAAAACAATATTAGTAATCTTCGACCATTCGGGAATTATTTTGCTTGAAAATAAATGCGCCTGTCATTTGACCATCTTTACGCAGTGATCTCCCCTGAATTTTTCGGCGTTAGTGTACATATAAAGGGAAGTAACCGCTTCAAAAAAGTGAACTACTTTCGGCAATTGCAATTAACAGCATTAGAGTCTGAAATTTCGCTACCATTATTTGTTTGGTCTGACAAATAAACAAATAAAAATAGAATGAAAGACAATGAAGATGAAGATACAAATATTATATCTTTCGATTAATTTACAACTTTGCTTCAATTTTTACATTTGACATAAGATGATGAAATATCCATCATTTGTAGAAGATGAATGCAAGCTTATGTAATTACTATGTGAATAATATCTGATCTATATACCGGACATTTGAATACGATTTTCTGCTCATATATATGTACTTAAATTAAAAGTTGTATACATGTTTGAATAAAATATATCCTGTGTATCTAAATGAAATACGTAATGATTATCGTCATCGGAAAATGATCATTCAGATTTTCTACTCCTTTATTTTTCTTGATGATACATTTCCTTATTATGTTCATAAAAATCAAGCCCAGCAAGTTCAAACGTGAGAATTTGATCATAAAAATAAAATTCTATCTAGGAATAGTTCTGTGTTTTATTGATTTGTACTTGCAGAAAATTGCGCACTGACAAATTACCTAGATTCTATTTATAATACGAGATTTAGGCTTAAAGCAGTATGCCTGTTGTAAAATGAACAAAGAAAGTAATTTACACATGACACTTACAAGCAATGTAAAACACCAAAAAGAGGTTAAATTATGCCAAAAAATAGCCCATACTGCGTTAGTCACGCAGAAGAAATACGGTGATAAATACTTCAATATCAGTCATTAATCACACGTAACTTGAATCTTGAATCCTTCTTAAAGGGACTTCACTGAGGTCTTTTGACATGATGGGGCTGAAAATATTTTTTCCTGATAAATGTATCATTTGATGTAGGTTTAGACCACTAATCTTAGTGCAAAACTTCAGATCATTCGCGCACTTCGTTTTTCCAGAATAATTATTCAAATTGTAAAAAAGTGACTTAAAATGAAAAGCGTTTAAACGCTTTTCACCCAAATCGGTCTATGAAAAGCATAAAAATTCGATTTTCAATTTGTTTCAAAGTATATTTCTTAACTATCTTTGCATATATTTCTGTTTAAAGTGCCCAGCTCATTTATGTAAGAAATTCAAATGTTATGTTTTTAGGTTTACAAACCTCAGTGGAGTCCCTTTAAATTCTATGTACATTTTTCTCAAGCTTGAAGTTTTTGAAATATTTTGGCTCATCTGGATGTATGCAGCTTTAAAGATAATTAAAACCTGTATAAAGATCGTTTGAAAATATCCGATTGATCTCTTTTTTATATGTTTATATATTTTTATGAGTTTGTCTTTTATGAACATATCTTTATCAATATGAGTTATGCACCTGGCTGCATTACAGAAGTGTTTAAATGATAATAAATTGACTTAAATATCGCATGTTACTGTTGTGATGAGCGGATGAAAGCCTTTGAAGATTCTTGAAACTTTCATTTAAGCAGTATAGTGTGCTTAATTGTGGTTACTATGGAATAAGAAAATGCGCTCATCGTTTAAATCTTAAGGTCGTGTATTACTTATCGTAGAAACAGATGTTCTAGTGAGAGGTGTATACACCTTTTTTAGTTAGAAATATTCTGTTAATCCGGATCTATTTGAATTATGTATAACGTAATTTTTCTTTGCATCTTGATAATTAAATTTAGATTTCAGTGGCATTTTTACACGTTGGATAACAGCTATATGATCATGTGGTATTTCCCCTTAGGGTCAATGAGTTTGATAACTTCTTCTTTCCTTTAATTTTGTACCCAGAAACCTTTTGCTTTAAATACATATATACATGTTTTAATATATAGAATAAAAAAATCAGAGGCAGACCAAATAAGTTTTTGGAGATACATGTATAATAATAACAACAGTTCAATATTGTTATTATTGATCTATTGCTCATTGAAGAAGAACCCCCCCCCCCGAAAAAAAAACAAAAAAAAAACAACACTTTATTATTATAGATACATTGTAACACAAATTGAATGTTTAGTGTTGTTACTAAAACAATTAAAAGAAATCGAATAAAACTGATAATATATGACGAATGAATTAAATACATATCCTGGAGTAAGATTCTACGCGGAGATTTTTTTCCTTTTTTGTACATATGTTCTATGGGTTACATAGAAGAAAAATCAGGTTTCAAAAATAGGGGTCACCATGCTCGTTTTTTCACAATGTCGTTTTTTCAAGGGCCATTACTCTGTATGTCTTTAAAAAATGATATTCAGACAATTATAATCAATAATTGTAATAAAAGACAAGAAAATACATAAAAGTCATGATTTCTTCTTCAAATTATATTTATTGAGCATTTTAAAATACAACAGATATAAAAATCAGTACATTTTGGGTAAAAATTTTGGGATCACTTTTTAGTCGATGATGCGGCGATGTGGGCTCATGCTGCAGTCATGACCAATCACGGCCAAAATTGTTGTGCGGGGTCAAGAACGTATGTGGAGGCTTCAATATATGATGAATTTGTAGATAAATGTAAAAACATGGCATCATTCAGGCAGGTCGGGGATCCATTTGATGCACTGACTCAACAAGGACCTCAGGTAAACACACATGTTGATCGCTTTAACAGTTACAGTATTAAACATTGATTTACGGCTTAAACCAAAGCTTAGCGGTCAAGAAACAATAAATTATTACCGATCTTTAGTAGATCCAATTAAAGAATATCCGCGGTTTTCCCCGCTAAGTTTTGATATATACAGTGCCTTGTTGATTTCATTCCGTTTCTATGTTTAAAAACAACATGCCAAAATTCTTCTTGTAGTTTCTTTAGTAATGACGCAAACTATAAAGTTTGACACATATTGAAAACTCAAATATCCAATTTGGTGTTACACTCAATTAAATCAATTACAGTTGATCCCATGTTTTTCGACATATTGACTCTTCCATGATAAAGAATGTTTGCGCTTGTCAACATATTTCGGAAGAATGCTATAGACAAATTAACATGTATACAACTGTAAACAGTGTGTTTACTCCATTTGAATCAGTAAACTGCGTTTTAGTCTTGGTTCTAAATTAAAACTTTATCCGAAACTTTTTTTCTGTAAATAAATTGACGAAACATTCAATTCTGAATTGCAAATATTGAATTGAAAAGTTAACACTGTCAGTAGCTCTATTTTTCAAATTCTTTGCTAAATATTTATGGGAGTCATTATTAACCTTTCACTTATAGATACATCTATTTGATGTTAAGAAGTAAGGAAGCTTCAAAGGTTAGTCTTAGTAGCCATGGTTTTAAAATTCGTTCTTTGACAATTGTATATAATTCATTTATTGGTACACTACATACACAACTGATAATGTAAATACTCATTTTCTCATACCATTTAATTATTTTCTTATCATATCGTTTAGATCAGCGAGGAACAATTAAACAAGATACTTGGACTAATCGAGACAGGTAAAAAAGAGGGTGCCAAACTAGAATTTGGCGGTGAAAGGTCTGGCGAGGAAGGTTACTTCGTGCAGCCGACTGTGTTCTCAGATGTCAAGGACGATATGACCATTGCAAAAGAAGAGGTAAAACTTATTTGAAATTGTTAAAGATGAGAATGAAATATTTGTCGATAGATGGGATAGTTTTTCAGATTTTTTTTTTTATGAAAAAAAAATAAATTTGTATGTTTTATAATGAAAGTTGTCGAAAAATAGATTTTTTTATAAAAAATTTCAATACATTTGTCGAAATGTGGGAAAGGTTGTTTCTAATACGAAATTCTGAAAGAGGATTTTTGATGTATTCAAAATGTTAATGTCTTATAAACTACAATCTGACTAAAGTTCAGATCTACTTATTATGTATCATGATATATTTCAGATTTTTGGCCCAGTGCAGTCCATTATCAAGTTTACAGATATTAATGACGTCATTGAACGTGCAAATAATTCTAAATATGGTCTGGCAGCAGGTGTAATGACGAAAGATATTAACAAAGCATTGATGATGTCACAGAACTTAGAGGCCGGAAGCGTTTGGTACAGATAGTTCAATTTTGCTGCAATCTTGGTTTCTTTCTATTCATTAACCCATTACTTCATATACACGCCTTTTAACGCCTTTTTCACCCCCCCCCCCTTTTTTGTTGTCTCAAATGATGAAAAAATGCCTTATTTAGGCCCCAAACACTTGTTTTTGTTTAAGAAATGTTGTTAAAAAAAGTGACCTCTTTTTCGGCGCGGCCCCCCAACCAAAAGATACATCAGGGGGTTGCCAGAAGGGGGATGTGCCCCCTTCTGTTTGGGGGGGTTTGAAGGGGGGCGGAGTCCCCCTCATCGCCAAGAAAATTTTGGACTTGTGAGAGGCTGTAAATGACCCCAGATTGATCATAAGGTAACGTGTAACCAACGCTGAAAAGCATTTGACTCTATCTCAATCCATTGAGAAGTTGCAGCACTTTGAAATCAATTTTGATGGAAAAAATCAACGCAAAATAGTGATTTTTGGCAATTTTGAGATGTCCCCTCGTTGCCATGGTAACAGAAAATTTAAGCCTGAGCATGTTGTTGCAAGGGCAATGGTCCAGTCAACATTTGTGCCAAGTTTGATTAGTGTTGGAGCAGTTTTTATAGTATTATAGCAATTTGAACTTGTAACGGGAGACTTTTCAATGAAAACAGCCATTTTTCACAAAATGCTCATGAAGCAATGGGTTAAGCATTTTTATGTTACGCAAAATGTCCCCTTGACATTAGCAACTATTTCAATAACAATATTCTTCAAATCTAGCCTGGATCTACATTATCAAAGTATATGAGACAGAGAACCAGACTCTGTTCAAATGTGACATTGAATCTGTTATAAACATGCCTCATTTTGTCCAAACAAGGTCAATAAAGAACGAAATACAGCCACTAGGTTTGTCGCAAATTATTTGAATAATGATGTAAAAATATCTATTAAACAATTAAAATAAAAACACGAGTTTTCATTTTGCGGTAATGCTACAACTATATTGGTATTTTAGGGTAAATTGTTACGATATACTGAAGGCACAGACGCCGTTTGGAGGTTTCAAACAGAGTGGTCATGGAAGAGAACTGTAAGTTACATAGTGAATGAAAAGCGTATCATGTTTATACAATACATGTTATTCAATAGCCCAAAGTATGCATTTTTAGACAACAACAACAACAAACATTTATTCGCTGTAAGGCCACCGGCCCATGCAAAGAATATATACAATTACAAACATTTTAATAAAGCATAGCATGTGTATGATAATAGGTAATATTTACAATTCTTGTATATATCGTTTTCTTCTTTCAAATGCATAATATAAATACATTGCAACAGATTTTATAAGTTCTTCATTTTTAGTTGACATGATGATATTAAATTTATTAATATTTGGTTGAGTAAAATATTTCAAAGGTATGTATGCTGCACGTAAATCAGAATAATAATTACAGTTTAACAAGAAATGATATTCACCCTCCACAGTATTAGTATCACATAATTTGCATATTCTATTTTCTCTTATTGTATTATTATATCTCCCTTTTTCAACTTCCAGATCATGACTACCAATTCTAAAATTTACATATGTATACAGAAACTTCCTGAGATTAAGAATATCAATATATCTTTCAAATATAAATTCCCTTTTGAAGGTTTTATATAGTTGCAACTTTGAATTTGTATTTAAACTTTCATTCCACTCCTGTAGACTTGTATCTTTTAGTCTAGTTTCAGAATTTCTCAAATAGCCCAAAGTATGCATTTTTAGACAATATTATAGATTAAAATACTTCTTTTCTTTTGATATAACTACTGAATTATAATATATTTATCTTTCAATAGATAATGGACATACATGTACATGTTTTGGTTTTGTAAATCACCAGATAATGTTTCTTAGGATATACACTTTACGTAGGCAGTTTTATTATTACATCCCCATGTGGCTGAGGGGTTTCCTTAACAGGTTAAGTCAAAATAATTACAGCCACCGTTTATCCCTGCATGATCGTAAGATGCAACTAAATGGGTTCGAATAACTGGAGTCTATGCATCTCTTAGCTCTAGCAGGTGAGATTGCTTTGACCCCTAAGTTTGTTAAGCCAAATCATCTTTCCTGTTTCGGTGCCATGTGACCTAAATTGTGTTGGTGCTAGAAATCAGTTTTCCCCTCGTAATTTTATGTTGCATTTCACTTTCTTTGAATATAGAACAAATTATTAGGTCTAAAAGAATTTTAATATCAAAATGCAGGCTAAAACTTTACAGTTTTGTGGTGCAAGGTGGCCTAGCTGGCGCGAACCTGGTAGCATAGACCTCACACGCGATCACTAGGTTGCGGTTGTGGATTTTTTTATAATCATGAACTTTTTTAAGAGACCTGTGAGCAATAAGTAAAATTACTGTACTCTGGTTCCCTTCGCAGCCTCATATATTATTGCCAGGGGCAGGTTATTCAGACAAGTCTTCCGACATATATGTTTATATAATTATATGTTTATTTCAGGGGCGAATATGCATTACATGAATATACTGAGATAAAAACGGTAAGTCGGTGTTTTAAGTTAATTAGAATGTAAATGTTTATAGAATTTTGACAGCTTTAATATTAATAACCCAGATAAATTTAAGGGGGCGTCCGTTAGTTAAAGTTGTCGAGTCCAAACCACTTGCCATTCACCATTGTAGTTTCTACCCGCGCAAGCGTTCTCGGATTATATCATGTGAGCAAGCTATCCAACTAGCTTACGGAACGTCGGTGGTTCTACTCAGGTGCTGGTTTGTGCCCACAGTAACGCACAGAGGGTCACCTGTGGTCTTCCGCCATCAATAAAGCTGGACAGTCACCATATGACCTATACTGTGTTGGTACAACTTAAAACCCAAATAAAAAAGAGATAAAGTTGAGGTGCTTGCACACAATGATGCAAATTAGAAGTAAATGCTATTATTGTCAATGTATTATTAATAACAAGCGCACAATGATTTGTGATTCAAATATTTAAAATCTGATTCAAGTACTTTTCTTACACCGTATTTTTAACATGCAGATTTCCTAATTGACAAGTCGCTTATTCTTATTTAAAAAAGATCGTACATTTTAACTGTTTTCTTTTTAAGACAGAAAAAAAACCAAATAATGATTCATTTCTATTTTGCAGGTCACTATAAACTTTCCTGAGAAAAACCTGTAAATAATGGGTGCAGTTTCTATTGTCTTAACATCTATTTACTACGTAATTATATCCAAGAAAACTTTACCGTTTGAGAGAATGAAATCATCAGGTATCCTAGCGGATGCATCTCCTGATTCACTGATTGTGAAGGTGTTTCCCTATTCCCGCGGCGCTTTGATTTATACAGATTTATATCTACCTCAATCAAAAACAATTAAAAGTTAAATAACCCGGATTTGTTATGTTTTTTTTTTTGTTGTTGCTTATTTCATTTAAATGGAACTTATTCTTATCGTTTATCTCGTTTATAGATGTACTGTCTAATATTTGTATAAGATATTAATTGTGTTGTATATAAAAAATTCACAAAATTCAATCATGTTTAAATAGGAAGTGGAATAAGAACGTAAACTGAAATTGTTCGTTTTCTGTTAAATTTAGTGAATGAGTGAGTGTGAGTGAGTGAGTGTGAGTGAGTGAGCGAGTGTGTGAGCAAGTGAGTGAGTGAGTGAGTGACTGCCTGACTGACTGACTGACTGACTGAGTTAGTTATTTGACACAATGTAAAGAGGAGTATTTTTATAAGAATCAAAAGTGACTCCTCACAATTTAACAGCTGTTAGTTTAGACAGTTTTTATTTCATATATTTCAAACATATACTTTTATGTACAACAACATGATATCAAACAGGACTGAAAAAGGAACTCAACGATTTATGTAAATTTCTTTCCTGTAAATAGTAAAAGTGTTTATTGATGATTTCATAAGATACAGGAAACATCAAAATTTATAAGTGTTAATATTACAAAAAAGAAAGAAAGAAAAAGGAATCAAAACTGGCCGTATGTGTGAAAAAGACAAAGTTGTAATGATTTCATAAATATTGATGTTATTTATAAAGTTTAAGAATTACAAGTACATGTTTGATGTTTATTTGTTAATATACATGTATACTTGTCAATATAGTATTTGTTTGATAAATATAATATAATTGTACGTGCATATCTTACTGACACGAAATAAAGTTAGTCTCGACTTAACACTAAAACAAAACATCTATTTTTTCAACTGAATATTTTCATATGAAGTGTTTTGTCAACTTAACACGTATCTCTCATTTACTTATTGTTTGTTGTTGTTTTTTATTCTGAATTAAACAATTAGGTCTATATTTATTATGATTCAGAGGAAACGAAAAAATGTATATGGAAACTAGAGGTCAATTGTTTTAGTCAATAGGATATATACACAAAATGATTTGATCGTAGTGACACCAGGAAGTCACTATGACGAGATCACTTGTCCGGGTGCTAAATAATTGAAACATCAAAAGTTTTTTTTATCTATAACTGTGTCGCATGATTACACCTCAAACCAACTTTGATTTTTTTTAATCCGGTAGCCATACTCCAAACCAATCAAGATAGTTTGTTTTCTCTTCAAAGTCCCATATTTTTGTTTTATATTAAACGTGACGATTGAGTGTGAGTCAATTTGAAAGACTATGAATGAGTAATTTATAAGCCCCTACACCATGTAACAATGCACTTCTTATTCGTCTACGTTCACAAACAATGGTTGGATCATTCAGGAGTACAGACACCATGATTGGCCATTAGTTGTTTAAAACTTTTTTCAATGTTTTCAATGCCAAACCCTTTATTAGGAGAATATACGATGAAAAAATAAAATAGAAAGAAAATTGAACAAAGTGGTCTGTAATATATATATACAATACCAAATAAAATGAAGTATAAAAATATCAGAATATTTACAGGGAAATCGAAAACATGAAATAAATAAAAAAGCGGAAAAAGTGGCAGGCTGTTGTCTCGCCAATACCACACATGCGAGGTTGTCCAGCCAATACCACTCGTGTGAGGAAAAAACAACAAATCATGCAATAAAATCTGCCAAAAATATGAAAATGATAGCATCGCATAATACCAACCACGTGTGTTAGGCCTCTTGATGGCAATCATTTCTTGACATTGTATAAGTTGCGCAAGGAAACAAGTGCTTAAGTCCCACATCAACCCCGACTGCCGGCTTTTTAATACCCGTCTTCCGAATTTCCTTTTGGAAAACCTCGTTAAAAAGTCACGTAACATGTATATACTAGTATAAACAATTTATTCTATTTTTAATCTATTTTTCTTGTCACTTTGACTCAAAATTCAAACAAAGACTGTGACATTTGTAGAATTATGTGCAATATATATATTTTCAATAAATATATTTTCTTCATAAATAAAAAAACAACAACATCGTTTTCTCTCAAGCATATCATCGCAATTTTATTGCGTTGACATGGCGATGACGATGGCATTTATAACAATCGTGGTTCAAATGACGAACAGTATGTACATACATATAATATTCCAAAACCTTATGAAGTGCAACCGTACAGATGTAATATGCAAATTCTACCCCATATGTTTCATCCGTGCATCTTTAATAAAGACGTTAATAGGATGCATCTTTTTCTTATTCAGTTATTCTGAGGTGTACCACAAGGGTCGATCCTAGCTTGGTCGGCTTCTGTTTCTTATATATTTCAACATGTAGACTGGTGTCTAGAAAAAAACTTGTTATGTGACGATGATTCTGGTATTATTGCTTCTGATCAAATCAGATATATTCGGCTCTAATTGAAGATCAGCAGCTGGTTAGTTAATGGTAGGATCTGTAAACAACCTTCATTTCTTCTCGGTAAGACTGAGTCAATATTATTTGATTCTGAACATAAAGGCTTAGGTAATATTTCTCTGTTGATATTTTGTGTAATCACCTGACATCAAAGGTGCATCTTCTGTGTCCTACCTTAGTGCTGCTATTGATCAAACTCCGTAATTTAATTCTATGGCTGGAAAAGTGTTACCAAAATCAAAAATCTATACGACAAAATTGAAAATGTTGCAGGCTCGGTTTGATTGTGCCTGTTACATGACGGTACAGAAAATTTCAAGCATTGGTAAAAGATGAACATGATTTATAGATAAACTAGAGACAATACTACAGTGAATCACTTTAAAACATAACAGTTACATATATAGTTATACACCTATTTTAATTTTTTATTATTAGGCAGTTATATACAAGGGACGCAACTTTGCTGTCTTCTCCTATAACAGTTTATGAATCTGAACTTCAACCTTTTAGTTTGGCCATACTTTAGATTAAAGTGTCAAATTAAGCTGATATGACTTTACATGTATATATTCCAAAATGTTGACTTAAAATTGTGATCGACCAACAGTTGATATGGATAAGGGATAAAATACATCTGCCTTATTTATAAAAAAACTGCCGAGGTCTTTCTAAATTGAATGTTACAGGTAATTTTTTATGGATACTTTAAGAAGTATCCTTGAATCGCGTAAATTATAAAATTGAGATGGACTATGGCAAATGAAAACTAATTTTGATAAGATGGGCATTATGTCACTTAAATATTATGGAATTAAATAATTTGCTTATGAAAATACACATCCATGTCAAAATACGAGAACTGGCTGAGCGTTAATGCATCATACATCAGTTTGAGAAAACATATGGCATTGATATATTAATTTCATACTGGATATCTGTTTTCGATATAATTATATCACATTTTATTAATATAAAAAAGGATAAATAGCACATTTATTAATATAAAAAGATCAATATCATATTTTATTAATATTAAAAGGATAAATACCAGATTTTTTTAATATAAAAATGGACTGACTCTGTGTGTTGAGCATTCGTTGCAATATATTTTTAAAATGAAATTTGAAGATTCGTAGTTGAAGAAGTTTCGATTAGATACACAAAACTTATACACTATCTAAAATAAATGTCATGTATCAATCAATCAATCAATCAATCAATCAATCAATCAATCAATCAATCAATCAATCAATCAATCAATCAATCAATCAATCAATCAACCAACCAACCAATCAATCAATCAATCAGCCAATCAATCAATCAATCAGTTTCTCTTATCCTGATATTGTTCCGATTTATTTTTCCATTATTCATCCGTGAAGAAACAGAAACTTGGTTCTACCGGTCCCTTTATGATCTACATGCAGCTACTAGTACAAGTGTCGCATTGTGTGACCAGCAATTGTTTTACAATCATTACTCATTCAAGAGTATGAAGAAAAACTCGTCGGGCGATCATGTCTCCTGTTTAGTGAACAGCGTGAAAAAAACGGTGCGACATCAACGACGTTATGAAATGAGCCGGGTGGACGATAGTTTCGTATGTAGTTCCTTATATTTTGCAAGAATGTGCTGGACTTTTTTTCAATTCATGATTGTATTATTTTGTATACGATAAGTTGAACTATATAACATTTACAAGCACAAGTCTACGTTATTTTGGATTATTCCTCGTATGTTCAAATCTAGCACATCAGTATTGAGAAAGATTAACAATTTTTCATTAGAAGATGCTTATTTTAATCTACTTAGGACCCTAGCTTAATAATTCACAATTAGGTTTCATTTTCTTACTACGAGACAAACACATGCTGAGAATTATCACAATCTAATCAAACACGTGCACAAGTTAGCTCAAATGTAAAGTTTGCCTAAAAATGTCATATTTTATTAAACAAACGGCTATAACTCAGGAAAGCATGTTGAGATCTTAATTATATTTAGAGAATATCATTTACTTATTATTATATACATCTGTAGTAGTGATTATCATTACACCGAGTTGCATTACAATGAAATAAATAAATCGCTTGTAAAATATTGATCAAATGTCATAATCTGTAAAATTCAAACACCTTTTTTAATGTAACAAAGGGCCATAACTCATAAATGCCAATACAGATTTTGATGATTTTTAGTATTTGATGAGCATAGATTCCTTATAACATGCATAGTATACATTCTTGCTAAGTCAGATTACCATGTTACCATGTTAAATACACAAAAAATGACACAAAAATGACAATGTATCTTTAAGGACATCGATTTCTAGATACGGATCCGGACGGACTGGCGGACTGACAGCCTCATTTTTATACTACTTTCCATCTCCGACTGCTGGTTACGTTTTTTTTTTTTTTTTTTTTTGTTGTTGTTGTTGTTTGTTTGTTTGTGTTGTTCTTTCTTCTTCGGTATTTGATAATACTCTGTATTATAGGTTTCATCGCTGAAATTGAATCGTGAAATTCTTATAACTCATAGAACTGGGTGTAGCCATCAAGAAGTAAATTGGTAGGTTAAAAATAGCTTGTGTTTCTTGTTACAATCATTGAACCGGAACGCACTGGTGAAAGGTACAACAATGACGTCATTGTCTGTACCGCAGACAAATATATGCGCCGAAAGCAGCGGGCTCGATTTATGTTTTGACATATTTCAATTTTTTAATTTCATTATGACAGGAAGATAATGTATATTGTAATTGTTTGCACTGATATAACCATAAAAACCTGACGACAGTCTTAATCTGCTATTGCGATATCAATATTAGTGTAGTACTGAAGCAATCTTGCTTGTTTTTCTAGTCTTATGTCAATAAAAACAATAACGATAATAAACATTTTTTTTTTTCAAATGTACTTTCGATTTCATGTATATTCGATAAAAGATGCAGATACGAACGGATATGTCCGATTATTCGCACATATCGATATTGAAATGAGCGAATAAGCCTACCCCCATAGGACTGGCATGGGAAGCTGCGATTGTTTATGAAAATAAGTGCAGAATTTTATGATAATAATATTATCTCACCTTACCTAAGCTAGCAGAAAAGTTTTTGATCCTTACAAACAATGTACCCTAATTGTGTATGAAAGACGTTATTACAGAAAATAGAGATTGACCGCCTTGTGTTCTTTAAGGTAGGTGGTTCTGGTAATTTTGTATTGAAAATAACACGTTTGTTTGTTTGTGAACGAAAAGCTACAAAAAAGCAATGTGATTGTTTTTTATGGAAGTTGTTATGGAAGTTATAAAATAATTATTGCCTCGTAAACCACTTGGAATTAGTTCATTAAGCGCTTTGATGCTTTTATATAGGCGTGTATGCAGGGAGGATAATACGAGCTTTAGAAGATAAGATACAATTAAAACATTCGTTTCTCGTGCATTTTTTCCATCAATTGATTACAACTGTATTAATTGGTACCCAAAGGATAGAAAATCGTGATTGTTTATTTATTTTGTAAACACATAATGCGCAAAAGGATGATTCCTGCGTAATAACGTTTCGCCTAAAACTATCAATGAAACGTTGTAAGGAAGGGATATAGAACAAACAAAGTTATTAATTTTTTAGCCTCTGATTAAAAACACCACCAATGCACTGAACTCGTTTTTGAACAAACCGCTCCAAAAACCGCGTAGACTGTTGGTTTCTTCATTAATTAACCAATTTCCTCATTCATCTTTAATTGATATATCTACTTGTCGTCCATGACTCAACAAGGATTCAACACGCACTCGTAAGCCTGCGTTTGAAAAAAGATAGTGATCAAATAAAATAAAAAGATATTGTCGCAAAGTTCAACCGGAAGTACTTGAAATGGTCACGTGACAATAACAAATGGTTCCCGGTTTCTTGATAGGAGGGGAGCTTATAGAGGATTAGCTTTCTGAGGCATAGAATGAAAGTATAAAACAGATGTCGGCTGCAAATTTAGCGGTAATAAAACTAAAAGCCTCATCTAAGTTCCAACAGGGTTTAATAGGAAAACATTAGCTAGAATTTGTATACATAACAAAAACACACAACATGGATATCTGGAAAATAATCTTAGCTTTTATTTTGAAGGTAAGAAATTTTCGAGAGCGCACGATTAATTTGAAAAAAATATTGCTGCATTAAAAAGATTAAGATTATTTGATCATATATATTGAACTTTAATGAAGTAACTTGTACAAATGTATGCCTTTCGTTTTTGTTTATATCAGACAAGCTTTTTTTACCATTGCTTATTTATTTTGGAGAAGGATATGAATATTATAAAAATGTAATGAAAAAAAATCCATTTAATATATAGATATAAGGTTTGTAGTCCAGCTAAAATATTGGCCGATAATATTACTCATATTGTCTTACTTTTAACGAAACAAATTTAAATTATAATAAAGTTACAAAGGCAACAAATGGAACTTTATCATATATACATGTTGCACGTCTGCTCGAAATTTTATTAATAATATTGTTCATATTTTTGACACGATAACAACGAACATGTATATAGTAGTACGGAAACGGCTTGTAATATGAAAAGAAAGAAATATGGCACCTTTAAGTGGCCTAAGCGATTAAACTTAAGTATGTTTAAATTGGCGCCCCCTGTTTCTGATAATAACATGGTAATGGGCAAATAAAATGTATTATTACAAAATTAGATAAGGAAAGATTGCGTCATAATTAAACGTAAATTCCCTTTAACATATTTGATTCTATATTTTCATATTATATGTATTTTTTGCATTGTTGTTTACGAGTTTTACACGGAATTGGCGTTGTTGTCTGAATAATTTGTTCTGTGAAAGAGATTAAAAATGATTATTTTATGAGGGATATCCGAACAGAAAAAAAAATCTTGCCAAATTCTAGCTTAAAGCAACAGATTGTTCGATAAAATCCGTCATTTTTATATTTGATGTATATTTAAAAAGCGTCAAGATGCCAAGATTTTTTATCCTGGTCACATATACCCGTATTTGATTGACGTACGCGCCGACGCGCGACGCCCTTTATGGAATGAAATCAGATTTTGTGAAATGGCAATGACAACTTCTCGGGCCTTTTCGTCGGTAATAATAGCCGATCATTCCGATTGGTATGAGAGTGTTTGATTATCAAAAATGAAATGTCGCGATATACACAATGAATAGCGAACTGGAGAATTTCTCAATGCAAACATATTCAAAATGAAATTATCTTATTCGCCAATTAATCCCGCTCTTCGCTTTTTATATACCATAGTGTTTGTCATGGCCTGTAATTAATGGAATTGATATACATTTGACCCATCACCGAACTAAAGCCGAGATATTCCTGGTGGTCAAAGATTGCCGCAATTCAAATCCCGTAATATTCTAGATTATTCGTGTTGGCTAATTTCTCTTTCCCTTTTCGTATATCAAGTAATTTCTCATTTAATTTCATTGCAATTGTTCTTATTCTTTTTTTATATATATAAATACGGAAAATGTTCTGATTAATGGATGTCTCCTCACATTTTACAATAGATTACTAAGAAATACAATCCTCTATAATTCAATGATAACGATTCGGAAATGATCATAAGTGATTTAAAGCTGTCAGAAATATTCTAGGATGAAACATCAAAAGATACACGATCGCTGCAAGTAGTCAGCTTGACGCGTAATAAATGCTACTTAAATTTGCTATTGTAATATTACTTAGAAAAAGGATATAAGTAACATTGCATATTGATTTGTAAGATTGTTTGATGTGGTTTTTTAGATTTTTTTTCACGGACAATGACAAAGAGGGAAATGTACACGATTTTTTTATGCACTAATGTATACTCATACTGGATGGGTTAGATGCGTCACATTGAATGGACGCTAATTGTTAATGCACACTTATTGCTCTTTATTGTTTTAAGTAGTGATTTACCGTTATACAACCATATAAGGTTATTTCAATATCCATGAAGCATTATATGTAGTAAAAGTTTCTGGATATTCTAAGAAAATGAAAGTACATGTTTGTTCGTTGTTGCTACTGTCTTTTGGTGGTGGTGGTGGTGGTGTTGGAAGTTTACCCCCCGGTTCACGACAGTAAGAGCACAGTTCAACCACTGCATCGTTCCTGGGCAGGCAGTCAAACAGTTTACCAGTACTAGTTGCCTTCACTTTCGCATGCCATAGCAGTACATATACGGTGCGAATGACCGAAGAAATGATTTCATGATCAGTCTCAACGAAAGTGACATGTGCCGTCCGGGAATCGAACTCGGGTCGCCCGTTTCACAGTCCAATGCTCCCTGAGCAAAACGGACGGCTCGCACCTGTCTCTTCGATATAATCGATCTCTTCGATATTATCGACGGACAGTGCCGATGTATACCGATATTTTACGAGCATATGGTGGATTAGTTCAAAAGAACACCTGTTTCTTAAGTATCGTCTTGTAATAATTTGCTGTCTGTATTAAAAACACATTTTGTACTCGTTTTCCCTTTTAACCTTTTTCATCTTCTTTTAATCTTTACTTTAATTGTTTATCCAGAAATTGTGTCTCTGGAATTACCAGGCGTATTAATTTTAGTGCATCGTTCGAGAATAACTCAAGTGGGTTATTAGGTTGGAAAAGTAGATTATCGGACTTCTCTATTCTGTGATATTAATGACTTACTGGCATAATTTCAAATGACGTAAGCGTCAGAAAAAAAATGATAACAGACATTACGCAAGCTCTATTTACACATAGAATGCCTCGCAACAAATCTATATTTATAATTCTGAGATTTCTGTAATTATTGTTTGATGATTGGAAGATACAGGATGCAGACACGTCTGTACAGGTGAAGTATCAAATGTGCTCCGATAACAAAATGATGTACACGGTTCCTTCTTAAATATTAATGTAATTGGATAAAAAAAATGCAATTCCTAAGAAACTACGATGGAACGAATGAAATTTTAATTTTTATAAGATACTTCCATGATGATCAAATAGAGAAAAACGGAATCCCTAAAGAACGCCCAAAAACAAAACAAAAACAAAAATTGAAAATGTTGCAGGCTCGGTTTGATTGAGCCAGTTCATGGATGGTACTTGAAAATGCAAGTTACCGCCCAACGCCCGGTAACCACCCTGTAGCACCGGCTTAAGCAAAATTCAACATTTAAACATATGATTTATAAAGGTCATTTGAAGGTCACGGTCATATTTTGCACAAGTGATGTTGTGTTTAAGTATGAAGGATTTAAAGATGTTATTGCTTATGTTAATCTGCGGAGATACAGACTAAACAAACAAACATAAACAAAAACAAACGAAAACTGCAAAATATTGGGAACATGAAATACAGGGGTACATTACAAGAACGGATATTTGACAACTTCATGTAACAACTCTCAGCATTATATGAGCCACGTCATGACAAAACCAGCATCCGCGCAGTCTGATCAGGATCCATGCTGTTCGCTTAGAAACCCTTTTACAAGTAGAGAAACTGATAGCGAACAGCATGGATTCTAATCAGACTGCGCGGATGCGCAGGCTGGTCTGGGTCCATGCTGATTATGTTTTACTAACGCTATCAAAGCTTTCGACTCACATCTGCTGATAGAAACACACACGACGTATCGCAGTATATCTAGCAATCATAGCAAAGGTAAAGCAAAATCAGCCTACTCTGTTATGTTCTGTTTGAAAAGTACACTAAATAACAACAATAGCTTGTATTTTCAAAAGTGCAAAGCAAATCACAACGCGTGGGAATATTCTTCACCCTTCATTAGTGACGTAATTACATTACAACAGTCTGCTATAGTAATTCCTTGTTCCTCAGCCACCTGGGAAATTTATCGGCACATTTGCTTGTTAAACAGTAGATTGCGGTTAACCATCTTTTAAACAAGCTCTATTTGTGTATGAAGTGAACCGTAGATTGGAGTAAACCTGCAATATAAGCCTTTTGTTTGAAATGTTTCTGCTAGAAATTGAGAACAATATATTTAGTGTTTTTTTCTAGCAAAATGTTGATAAAATGCAAAAAATACCAAGTGTCATTGCTAATACAAACATTAAAATCTCGTTTAAAAACATTTCATCATTGTATTATAAACGCTTACTTTAAACGGAAAAGCAGCAAAAACAGAGCGTCTGATGATTTTGTAAATGATTTCTTTTCTTCGTCTGCCAGCATGTCAATTTGGTTACGTTAGCACTATTGTTCTCCTATTGACGTCTGGCATTTTCTTCTGTTTCCGTAAGCTATTTACATATACTTCCGGTTTCAGGAAATATTAGTCTGCCCCGATGGCTGGATGGCTGGTATTTCTGTTTGTTTGTATGTGTTAACGCTATAGCACGCCATCTGTTGTTCCGTTTCAATTGCCAAAAAGTTCGTTTGCTTCCTTTTGCCAGAATGACGTCTGTCAAAACTTGGCGTTTCTTGCCCGTTCTTAAACCATTATGGCATGTTGTTATATGTGATCTTGATTTGGAGGTTAAAGTCACCGGATAGTTTTTTTTTTTTTTTTTTTTTTTTTTTGATGCGTTTATTTAAGGTCGCCGCCGGAAAGCCCATATGGGCGACCGTACACTCAAGTCGGGTCATCTAGAGCGTCCCGCCGAGATTTTTCGTCGATTTTTTTCCAGCTTTATTGGTGGAGGAAGACCCCAGGTGCCCCTCCGGGCATTATTTCAGGCACGAGCGGGCACCTGGGTAGAACCACCGACCTTCCGTAAGCCAGCTGGATGGCTTCCTCACATGAAAGATTTCGACCCGAGTGAGGATCGAACCTACAGTGGTGAGGGACCTGTGATCTCAAGTCAACGACTTTAGCCACTCGGCCACGGAGGCCCCTAGATAGTTTTGATTGTTTGTAAAATATACCTAATTTGTAAGCATAATAGCCAATCATTTCCCTTCTTATATTGTAGCCAATCCTGTGTCCTCTTACATTTACAGATTGTCATATCATTGCGCTTGTCGGCTGCACAGGTGCTAATGGAAGAACTCAGGGCATATAAAATCGACGATCGGGACATGAACGGCACAGAACAATACACAGAACTTTCAATAGATCAAGTTATAATGATGGCAAGCGGGGGATCTGGCAGTAAGTTGGTCCACTCAAAAATATCAAAATCTTGGTACCCACGTTCACTCCCGTGGCAATGCGTACAGTTTCAAAATCAAGTATTTAGACATATAAATATAGTAGGCATTTTCTGAAGTATATTTTTTGTATGAAAATGTGAAATGCATGACGCTGCACATCTCTATATACGGAAAATAGCGCTAATGCCCGTTTGGCCATTCATTAACAGTCAGGCATAAGTCTTCGGGCTGATTAAATCCTTCTTCGTACTTCTGCAGCTGTTAATGCACGAAAAGCATTGACCATCATTCAAGGAATAAAACAAGTTAACAGAGTGTATTAGACTATAAAACATATTTTTTATACAATAGACAAAAAACGAAGAGTAACTTTCTACGGAGGATAGTTTTTGCCATAATGGTATTCGTGTACATTGTATTTAATTGTGCGGGAGTCAGACATATGACTGGCAATTACCAGCAACCTCAGTTTTGCTTTTGATTGTTTTGTATGCTTATATAATGTATGTTAAGAAGAAATCTTATTTTATTAGTACAACTTTATATTGTTATTATTTTAGTGGCACAGAATTTAGTTCTTGGGGATGATGGGACAGTTTTAGCCGAGTTGGATATGAGACTGACACAGCCACAATTTGTCCGTCTGTACGAGCAACCTTCGGCTATGGCGTATGTATCATATACTTGTATGAAAACAGTATAATTGTTAAATTTAAAAATGTCTACACTGTACACGCGAATTAATTTGGTGACGTGTAAGCAAGCCATCAGTACATATAACCATGCAATAGTTGTAAATTTATAACTGACAAACTAGCTTTTGGTACGCATTCTGTGATTGGTTAAATTCAAATACAGCATGTGATTATAAACCAATCCGACTCCTGATTATGCACTACTTTATGAACTCTTTTACGACAATCTTTAAAATTGATTACTGTTATACATGTACGTACATTCTGTAACCATAATGAAGCACTATGGTGAATATGTTAATTTAATATTTTTGTAAATTAAAATATATTCTAGCTTTTAGTATCTAATGTAATGCATTGTAAAATTTCTTGTTGCTTACCTAGGGTACGTACTGCTAAAATATTGTCGGTAAAAGATAAACGAAAATATTTGAAAACAAAGCAGTTTCTATTATATTTAATATGACTCACACAGCTTTTTATGCAAAGGTCTGCAACTGTTTTTACTTTCATAACAGGTTATTTCTTATAAGTGAAACATATGTTACTTTTATGCATGTTTTCACGTACTGCAAAGGAACATCGTTTGTTTGATATTATATAATTTTGATTTGCAATAAGTTTACAACAAAAAGAACCCAGTATCCTACAGCAAATCAAAGCTGTTTTAGGAGTAACATTTAATGACTTGAACCACTCCATACCATCATTTAGGCTAATTCAGTATAACAGTGATCTTGTTGCTTAAAACACTGACAGAGAGATTATTACTACAGGTCAAGTGATTTACTTACTTTTATTCCGTATTAAAACAGAGAATTTGTACTTCTAGCATGTTTCATAGATAAAGAAGATACATATCAATGGAAATGTCAGTGAGCGACACTGAATTATGGAAAGCCATGGCTGTCTGATATTGTTCTTTTTCAATTTATGTAACCATTTGGATAATATATGAGTTCACTTCGACTATATATGAATTGAAAACACCTTCTTATTTAACCGGAATCCATTATATTAATCCACAGTGACAATATAAATTATGAAACCATACTGTCAGTGTATGAAACCGAGTTAGCAATATATAAGTTGATTTACTCAATATATGATTCCAATTCTTCAATGTATGGAACGAGATGTCCTTATATGAAACCGAATTATCAATATATTAATTCATTTTTACAATATATGAAACCAATTTATCAATGTATGGAACCAAAGTAGCAATATATGACTTGATTATCACTTTATATGATACCAGTTCTTCAATATATTGTACCAAAGAAGCCATATATAGAACCAGATGCCGTTATATGAAACCGAATTATCAATATATCATGCCACTTTTGCAATATATGAAACCATTTTATTAATGTATGGAACCAAAGTATCAATATATAAGTTGATGTTACATTCTATGATAGCAATTTTCATTATATGGAACCAAAATAGCCTATTTTCGTGTCAACAAGTCAAAGGCCGAGGTCACTGGGTTCTGTTATTACAATGCATACTTTTTCATGAAATCAATTATTATTTGACTGATTATTTTTAAACTTTGTGAGTAGATTAACCTTGTTGTGTCCTACTTGCCATGTCAATTTTTGATCAAAGGTAAAAGGTCGAGATGAACTTATTTTTTTAATATGTTTTTGTTAATGGTCAGTACGGCTCAATAGCTTAAATTATGACATACAACTCGTACATATATAACGATAAGTTTTGCCTGCCCAGCCCATTTGAAGTGAATGTGACGTTAAATTCAAATATTTCCTTATTTAGAAAATGTGCAGTATGCAATCAGTGAAGCACGCTAGTCTTTTGACAGTTCAACAAGGAATATTGGCGCGAAACTGTAATACCGGTGCAAAGATAGAATACAGTCTTTAAAAAAAGTCCCGTCAATATAATGACATTTTGGTTCAATATATTGATACTTTGGTTCCATATATTGAAGAACTTGTATCATATAATGTGAAAATCAACTTATATATTGCTAATTCAGTTACACACATTGATAAACTGGCTTCATATATTGTAAAATTGATTTACAACTTATATATTATCCAAATGGTTAAATAAATTGAAAAAGAACAATATCAGACAGCCATGGCTTTCCATATTACGACAATCCATTAATTTGTGGATACCTTCCAGTCTAGTATGATTGTCTTTGTACCAAAATATTTAATGATTAATTACTGGTGTATACATGTACTTACTAATGTTTGTAAAGACTATTTTACTTCATTTTGTTTAATTTAGAGTTTTAGTACAAATCGTTATAAGAATGTTTATACTCCAGTTATCGCAAAAAATGCATTTCATTTTGTTTATGTGCAGGAATTCTTTGTCCATTCCAAGAGGAAAGCGTCGAGCTATTAAAAAATTGATAAAAGAGAATAAGAAAAAAGCTAAAAGAACAAAAAGGAAAGCCATACGGGATACAGTGCTCAGATGGACTGATGGAATTGTTCCGTACAGATTTGTTCCCGGACATTTTCGTAAGGTTTTTATCATATCCAAATTGATAATCAAGAATCTCCTACACCTAAACTTCATTCAAAGAAATTATACAGCTCTGCCTTTGATTCCTACCGTTGTCAGGTCACTACACATGCGCTCCTGAATATTCAATTTTCCATACATTAAAAATCCGCCTATATGCCAAGAGTGAAATATATTTTTGAATATCTTCCTCCCAACTAGCACTATTATTATTTAAATTTACACATTATGAAATCGCCATGGCGAGCCGGCAACATAATACGGAATTTTCTATCCGTCTCATGATTTGCGTGTATTTTAGATTAAAGGTATATAATAAACCACGCTATAATTTAGAGCAATCTACTTAATATGAACATTTGCTATAGCAATGTTTAAGGATACATTACACTCATATTTGACTTACATACTTTTATTGTAGAAAAAATATAGAAATCTAGAAAATTCTAGCTGAAAATGTATGATTTGAACAGGAGAATGAACAAAGTATGTTTGGGGATTACTGGTCAAGTTTCTTTGGCATTGCCTTAATGACACCATGTATTCATACTGCGCTTTTGTATAATGTGTATGACTACTCCATGTGTACACAAAAGGTGTTTATTTCAAATTTAAAAAAGGGACTGAAAAGCAATTATCAGAACTTTCAATTATCAAATTCGAGCATGATATATCTTAAAGAATCCATAAAATTAATATATTATCACTTTATTTGATTTCAGAGGATAAAGAACGATACATGATACGCAGTGCAATGACAGAATGGGAGAAGTATACATGCTTGCGATTTAGAGAAAAACTTAGCACAGATTATAACGTAGTCAGATTTCAAAATGGCCTAGGGTAATTATCTCCCTTTTTCGTAATGTAAACTTTTTCTTAGAATACGATGTGTAAAGGGTTAGCAGGAAACTTAATTTAGGGATTAATGCCCTTGTTTTACGGCCAAAACATTGTTCTCAAATCACTGTAGATTACTGATGTCATAAAACAAATTTGGGATAAATAGTGATTTACAAGTATCAAGAACTTATTCACATTTGAGATACATTAAATCTTACATAGTACAGATTTTAAATATTTCGAATATCAAATGCAACATTTTGATTCGAAATTAGGCGTTCATTAAGTGCCACATCTATACTCATTGTATGTACATTTCAGATGCAATTCTCAACTTGGTATGGTGAAAGGAGAGCAGCCATTGAATTTGGATAGGAACGGTTGTAGATTTGTAAGGAACTTAATTGTTTTAATATTTATGAAGCAAATAAGATTGTAACAAAAGTATTTGAATTTTAATTGTTCTGCACGTTTGTTACGTCGCTTTTCATTGTAAAATAAATGTAAATTATATACACGGCTGCTGCCATTTAATAAAGCAATTTCATATTCTTCAATAATGAACTTAGTTTGCTGTATTGTAAATTTGTTGTCAAGATACTTGTCAAGTTATATGACTCTAAACGCTTGTCCCTAGCGACTTTATATACATGCAAACAACAGTTTACATAGAGTCATATTACCAGCCAAAAAATCTGTATAACTAAAAATACAATGTATATAATTCGTCTTGTTCACTTATTCATATATGTTATCTATGTACTCTTAATTCAATCAGAATTTTTCATATTTTCATTTAACTTTTCCGGAAAAAAATGGAAAAAATATCAGAAAATAAAATTAAAATCACACATTCATGCAAAAATGTCAAGAAACAATCTTTTGAAGTCTTTGTCACTCCTACAATTCTAGTTTTGATTTTTGCATCTTGATCTCTGTTTTCATTATAGTAAGGAAGTTTGGATACAAAGCGAGTCTAACATGTAAATAAAAAAAAAGAAAAGAAAAAAACACACTCTTTACGTTCACGACATTTATATTCACTAAGTTAAGTCACAGATAATGCTAACTAAAATTCGTGTGATTGATTTTTATTAACAGAAAGGACTTTATTTACACGAAATTGGTCATGCTATTGGTCTCGTGCATGAACATCAGCTTCCGACCAGAGATGACTACATTGAAATATTAGATTACAACGTGCAACCGAATATGCGAATTTGGTTCAACAAGTACTCTTCACAGGAAGTAGACCAAATGAAAGTTCCTTATGAGTACTCTTCAGTGATGCATTATGGTATAACGGTATGTCAGTGTTGTTATAAATGAATAAATGAAACATGTGTTAAAATTCACCTTCTAATGAGATTGTAGTCTAGTTTAATAATATTTTATTGCAACTACATGTATTCTATACATAAATACATGTAAGCTTTCATGAATGATACAAAAACAAATATTCACAAAGAGATATAGTGCAAATGGATCGGGATTGAAGTAGTATATCCAATAAATATAAAATGCTTGTTTTTTTTCCTAAAAACTGTCATTTGCATTGTTGAATCTAATTGACTTAGAAATATAATAATAAATCATGAGAAAAGTAAGGTCTATGCAAATCTGTAAGACGGGTGAAACAACAGAATTACATGAAAAATTGCAGTCTCGGTTTGATTGAGTCTGTATATGAGGGGTGATGAAAACGTGCAACATCCCTCACGCCCCCTAGCACCGACTTGAGCGGTTCTCATACTTCAACACTTATAAGTTACAATGGCAATGTTAGACCCCAAACGGATCGGTTTGACCTAAAGTCCAAAAAAAACCCAAAAGTTTTTATTAAAGTTATTCTCTAATTGGTCCAAATTGAAATGGCCCATACAAATAAGAAAAAAACGAACTTGTATAAAGTTTATAAACACTTTAAGCGAAATAGACTTTCAGAAATTTTCAAATTTAGGCATTCTATTTCTACGGAAAAGAAGGGCAACGACTTTTTGCGAGATGTAAAAAAAATCCTACAATTAAATGTGGTAAATTACAATTTCATGTTTCATATGGACAGGCATTTTCACATGATGGTAAAGCACAGACAATCAGGGCCAAACATGCCGACAAAGAAAAAACTATAGGAAGAGTGTACAAAAAAGAACTGTCCTTCACAGATGTAAAAATTGTGAATTTGATGTATGGATGTGCAGGTAATGGTTTTTTAAAAATAGATGGGCACATTCTTTGTGCAGTCATGTTACAATATATGCATACAGTTTTGGAGCTATGTCCCTTTATAACTTTGATTTTCTTTTGTCAATGGTAAAATAACTTAAAAACTATCAAAACTTGGTAAACTTAATAATAATGACAAGGTGCATTTGTAAAAACAAGGGTCATTAACTTAAAAGAAATATGTTTATGTGATGTTAGAAAGTCAGTTCTTTGTAAAAAATGGAATATTTTTGATTTCATCAATTAGATATGATATTAGATATATTCTATATTAATTAGATGCAAAAAGAAAATTCATTTATATAAATGATATATTCACACTTCGTTAAATTTTTCATGCGAAGGATTAATTAATTAATTAATTAAAAGTATTTCGATTAGAACCATATAAAATTGTCATATAACAATAATCTTGTATATTTTGCAGATCACTGTGATAAATCTATTGTATGTAACGGTGGTGGTTATGTGGACCAAAATTGTAACTGTATATGCCCGGATGGCACGGACTCTTGTACAAAGGATAATAAAGCACCTGTTGACCGTAAGTATTGATATTTCACGATAATGTGTCAACTACATATGTTTATGACAATGTGTCACTATGAAATAATAAAATGCAATGCGACAGACCAAATTTGTATATAGTTAATCTATAGATATATCTATGGACAAATGAAGGTTTTTACATTTTATCCCACGATTCATACAAAAACTTTTACAAAATATTTATCAACGCATTGCGCTTATTATCGATATATTATTATTCATGTTGATAATTTAAAAGTTTGTTTTATACGGAAACTCATATTTGACAAGTTCCGGGGTGTCTCTATTTGTACTTCAGTAAAATTTCTTTAGGAAACATTTTCATGCATATAATTAAACCGTGGCAAGACTGCTTTGCAAACATGAATTCAGTAATTTATGTTTGGGGGAAAAACAACATGATATGGTAGGGTTTTTTTAAAACATTATTTTGTAGTTTTTTTATCGTTAATTTGATGAACTCTTTTTAAGCGATGCTATTATTGTAAAGCAAGTATTTGATGTAAAGCTTTTCTTCTTTTCCGAAACAGACCGGATTTTACTTTAAAACACACAAAATTAGATTACATTTTTCCGTACGTTATTTTAGCCACGTGTTTTAACGCTCACGATGACTGGCAGTGTAGTTTGTGGGCGAACCAAGGTGAATGCGATAGAAACCCGAGGTTCATGTTAGATGGGTGTAAAAAAGCTTGTCATCTGTGCGGCGAAAATGAGGACCAAGATGGTATGTGCATGCTTTTAACATCTCACTTCACGTGCCTTTGAATCTATATTTAGAACAATCTGATGGTAAATTATAAATACTATTCAAATACTCTAAAAATGTTATGAGTGATTTTTATGCCATTATAATAGAACTTTACTTTATGTATCAGTTATTGTTGATCTGTATACAGTCTCGAATATAACAATGAAATTTCTTCTAATTTCACAATGACTGTTATTCTCTCTAATTTCTTTTGTACAACTTTTTCATATCCATTCATTCTGTTGCGTTGCTATAATCAATTAAAATCTAAAATAATCTGTTGTCGAATGATCTTACCATCTTTTCAAACTTCTATGCTGTTGCTTAAATATTTCGTGCCATACATATGACTCGGATGATTTTGGATATCTTCGTCTTTTTCCGTATCTTATATTTATCTGAAAAGCATTTTGCTGACAAGATTTTTTGTTACTCCATGTCATATTGACGCTTGTTTGATCAAAGTGTGACACGAAAGATCACATGATAATCAGAAGATTCATGAGTTTATTATTTATGACATACGTTAAAAAATAACGAGAAATATTTCTTGCAGGGCCTCATATTACATTATGGACGTGGCAATGGTTATGTAGATTTGCCAACATTTGTCCAAAAGATTGGACAGTAGGTGAATAAATGAATGTCACTAACCTTATTATACTAATACAGGAATGTTGATTGAAAAAAAAATGTTAACAGTAAAACCCTGCGATGTTCATGTTAGTTGTAGTTAGTTGAGACGTAAACAAATACGTATATGTGTATGTAGAAAGTTGTGCACATGCCCTCCAGAAGAACAAGTTTGTAAATTTAGCACGGAGTTCGACATTAGACATTATATAGCAGGAATGTCAGGAAATTTGCATTTATCCGGCTTAATGTCCTGCTGACAGAATATTGGGTAAAATTTGAATGTTTCATATGTTATACACCGTGCTAAATTAATTCACTCAATTAGCAAAACACTTGGAGAAATTTTGAATATTTAAAAAAGAAAACTAGGAAATTATAGGAATATTAAGCAGGTATTATAATAATATTCTATTGTGACAAAGAAAATTCCTAAAATGTAGGAACATTTGAAGCTCAGTTACATATAAATGTTTACAGTCTACACTGTTTATTATTTTCTGACTTGTTTCTTCAGAGCGGCAAAAATTTAGGTTGGTTAATATAAACAGTCCCAGTTTACCAAACACTTTAAAAACTTACTTCTAAAATCGCTTCAGTGTTTCGCAAAACCAGTTTGTGAAACAGGATAATATTTGAAATTAAGTCATCAGAAAGAATGGTATCCTCATGAGAAAGAGGTATAACCAAAATAATTTACGGGGGGAGCAAAGTGAAAGACAAAAAGTTCGGCAAATTATATGTCAAACTAATAGTTAGTCGTAATGAAACAATAGGAATTCAAGTTACATTTTAGAAAAACAAGGAGCACTTATAAAAACAACTTAGGAACAACTAGGAAACGCTGGAGAGCCTGAGTGTGCATTTGCATCTTTCTAAGTATAGTTGTATTGAATATGTAATACATTTACATTATGATGTTATGTAGATGATAAATGATAATTTGATAATCGTAGTTGTGAATAAATATTGAATTGTCTAGTTTTCCTTAGTTTTTATATGATTGGCATTGTTGTTTATACATGTAAAGAACCTTTAGTCCACCCCTTAAACTACTAAAATGATAATAATGTTAAAATTTCTGTAAGTTTTTATGTTTGAAATTGATTTTATTTGATCTAACACATCTACAAATGACGTTTAAAATTTCAAAGGGAGGCTACTTTTGATTTGTCAATTGGTGCATGATTTTATTGCAGCTTCTCGGCCATTAGCGGAGCACGATCCTCGCCGACTATTTCCGTTTGTGCATGTACATGTAGAAGTAAATTGCGCATGCTCATTATAAGTCTTTTTTACAAAATCCCAGAAAACTTCTGTTGTCATGGTAAGCATATCGAATAAATCACGCAGTTATTATGTATTTTATAATAAACTTTATTTTATTCAGTTAAGAAGAACATGGAAAGCTAATTTTATAAAGATGATAACGTTTATGTATTTTTGATGAATTTGTGTAACATAATCTCATATATCTATTAAAGTTTATTTGATTTTGTTTTAAAAAAGTTTCTCGTGTAAGCTAATAATTTATAAAAATGACAATTTCAAAAGAATACGTGATTATTACTTTTTTAGTAAAATTACAAAACCATTTCAAGTGAAAATGATATTTGTCAGTGTCGACCAATTACTTAAACACAATGAATTCCTACCGCATTGTTAACAACCGCATAGATCTGTCTTGTAGTTTGCTTTAAAACAAGGCAACGGTGTTTTTAGAATTTTAATAGTTTAACGATTTATTAAAATAAGTACTACTTTTTCAGGTGAGGAAGATATCCAGCTTACTTACGGAACGTCGGTGGTTCTACTCTGGCGTCCGTTTGTGCCCTGAAATATTGCACGGAAGGACACCTGAGGTCTTCCTCCACCACCTGTAAAGCTGGAACAAAAAAATGAAATAAAAAGAATAAAATAATAATAATAAAAAAGTAATGATAAACAAAAAAGTGACGATATACAAATGAACATTTATTTCTTCATATTTCAGATTCGTGTAAAGATAGTTACGATACCTCTAAATGTAAAGTATGGAAGTTAAATGGAGAATGTATCGTGAATAAAAAATGGATGGAGAAACATTGCCGGGCAACATGCAAGGCATGCAAAGATTCCGGACCAGACCCTGATGGTATGTTTGCGGTTCTTCCGGTTTATACCTTAATACACTTTTCACAATTATCGCACTAACCTTAAGCAAAGATTTTCTTTAAAAGGCAACATTCGCCTAAAATTCAAACAATTTTTGACGTGTATCTATTAATCATATAATTGGACATGACATTTTTTTGGTTTCACAGAGTTGAAATTTTAAAACGATATTGTTATCTAGAAAAGTTTTATCTCTTGTTAAAGAAATTGCTACTTAAAAATCCTGTATGTTTTGTGATTGATATTGTTACTGTGTGTATACCACACTTGCAAACAATTATATATGTATATAATTATGCAAATAAAACAATTTTCAAACATCGAAGAATATATAAAATGTGTACTGCAAATATTTGTGCACAGTATATTTAATCAATAAATTACATGCATTCATTTCTTATTGGAAAATTTGACTTAGAATTTATAGAAAAAAATTCTAATTACCTCCCTTTATTTACATGAAATGTTAAATTGGGTAATATCTTTATAAATAATACTCATTAGAACTTGCAATATTGACAAATCTTAATTTGAGCATCATATTTATGAAATAAAACCATAAAAAAATTGTGTTTCAGGATCTTTAAAGTCTTTGTTTTCTTTTAATAGTCTTTGTTTTGCTGTTGCCTTTATTTATGAAATGAGGTTTTTCTGTTGTACAGTTGCATGTAAAAATCAACATACTGACGACAGTCAATGTGAAAAGTGGGCAAGGGAAGGAGAGTGCCAGATAAATTCTGCATGGATGCCTGAAAACTGCCGGAAGTCTTGTCATATGTGTGGCGATAGTGGGAAAATAGCAACAACAACAACACCGGAACCCACACCAAAACCAGGTAAGTGTCATTATGTTACACAAGTTTAAGCATTTCCAGAAATGTTTGGAATCGCCTTACAATCAGGAATTCCCTTTTTGTGTGTGAAAAGAACTCCTTCCTGAACAAGAGAGCTTATGTTTCTTCTTTAAGGATATTGTTCATCTCACAGGAGCCTATAGACTGGTTTCGAGGTTCTTACATGAAGATAGTATTTCAATTCTAAATATAGGTAACCGACAAGCGTGCCCCGTAGGCGTCCCCTTTTTGAGCTCTTCTGTCTGACGTCCATTTTGTTAGCATATTGTATTTAATTCTCCATTCTGATTGGCTTAGAGCAGGCGTTGAGCAGCAAGATATAGTCAAATGTAGTTAATTGTATATGTCGTGAACGGTGACAATAATCACCGTTTCTATTTTAAAGGCATCCTGTTAAGAAAATATTTCACTATAAATGAATCTATACACTTACTGTGACAAAAATCTTGTGAAATGAAGAAATGTCCTAATACATCCTAAACTTTAATACTAAACAGATCTTTTAAATCTCCAGTGAAGTTTCTATCTATAGACTGCTGCTGAAAATTCTTCTTTAATTTTCTACAGGCAAGTGTGAAGATATACATAATTCTGTTGAATGTAAGGGATGGGCGGATAGCGGCGAATGTGATCTGAATCCTGATTGGATGATTCCAAATTGTCGCAGATCATGTGGAAAGTGCGGGGACAGTGGAGAAGGTAAGTTTGCAAATTTTAATGGGGAATAACTCTTGATTATTTTGCTCAGATATAATACTGATTTATCTCCCTTATCAAAAATGCAATCTTGTAAAATATCCCTTATTTCGTTTATTTTGGCAAGTTAAACTAAAATCCCGTTCATAAAACAAATGTTTATATGTATTCAAACCTTTTACAACTATATAAATGGAAGTTTCTTAAAAAAGAAACTTAACTGGTCTCTTAAAAATATGCAAAAATCTGCACGCCCTCAGAAGAGCGAACGAGAATGTTTTTAGAACATTAAGATTGCTATGCGACGTTTAAAGTTGTATATAATTGGAGTAATGGTTGGTTTTTGTTTTATATTTTGACATATATAAATAATTATTGTAATTAAAGCGTGTTTTGGGAGTTTTTCTTGTTCATTATTCTAATATACACCGGCAGGTATGTTGTAGCACACACATTTGTTGGTGGGACATAAAAAACAACTTAGCACACACATTTGTTGGTGGGACATAAAAAACAACTTAGCACACACATTTGTTGGTGGGACATAAAAAACAACTTAGCACACACATTTGTTGGTGGGACATAAAAAACAACTTAGCACACACATTTGTTGGTGGGACATAAAAAACAACTTAGCACACACATTTGTTGGTGGGACATAAAAAACAACTTAGCACACACATTTGTTGGTGGGACATAAAAAACAACTTAGCACACACATTTGTTGGTGGGACATAAAAAAACAGTTGCATTTCACGAGACGCATTTGTTTTTAAATAAAAGCATACACATTTTAGTTCATGACAATTATTGAATGGGGATGATTTATTGATTGATAATTACAGCTGAATGCAAGAACACGTGGAATGACAGACAGTGTGAAGGTTGGTCACGTGACGCTGAATGTATTAAAAATAGTATCTGGATGAATAAGAACTGTTATAAAGCTTGTTCTGGTTGCTCGGGCGACTCTACTACTTCCCGCCAGAAGACGGTTGTCACTACTCAAGCAACTACCCGAGAGGATTCTGGTATGTCGCCTCTTATCTATTACAACTTCTTAGTCCACGCGTGCTTCAAATAATGTAAAAAGACTAGATCTGTTTGTTCTTATGCACAACACGGTAATAAGAATACATGTTTTTAGAATTCACCACTTTGTATTAGGTTTTAGTCCATAAAAGGAATTTTACAGTTGTATCTCAAAACAGTAAATAGTTCGCCTTTTATAAATTTAGGTGCATATGTAATTTTAATTTGTGCTTTTTTTATTATAAGTAACAGAAAATATGACCTAAATCATATTTAGTTAAGTAGATATCGAGGGTTTGTTGCGAAACTGTGTAAGTAATTATTACATATTGCAGGAGGTACGTCTGTTTCGCACTGATCCTTCGATATAATTTTTTTATTTATTATAAAAAGAAGTAAATTGTTGGCTCATATTAGCCCCTTTGGTCTTTTCAATGGCCAAATGCCTTTTTTCGTTTCATAGCGACATTGATTTTGTATATTAAAACACACTAAGACATTGATCAATTTTGTCTTGTCGCCTTTTTTTCCAGGTTCATGTTCAAATAATCATAGAAATGATAAAGAATGCGACACTTGGGCCAAATATGGTCATTGTAAAATCAACAAGTGGATGACCATTCATTGTGCAAAATCTTGTGGTGAATGCAAGAGTGAAGCGGTTACAACTCCAAAACCGGATAAGAAAGGTAAAGGTATTAATTTTATAATAAATACGATTGCGTCTTTTCCGAAAAGTTTTTTAAAATTTATATCGTAAGCCTTTCGTGTGATGATGAACTTAAAATAAACTTCTACTGTTATATTATGTAAACTGTTTTGATATACATGTACATGCCTTCTATTTAAGGCGCCAGTGAGTGATTAGTATTTTTATTAAAAAAAAACAACAACAAAAAACTAATGATTCACTGCGCAGTAAAGTTATGAAATTGGACGAAAGAATTAGGCATCCTTGCGAACACGGGCAAAAGTTTTATTGAAAAAAGCTAATAATGACGATTGAGAAGTACATTGAAGTATTAATGTTGTAAAAACGAGAACCACCATTCTATTTATAGAAACACCAACATTGTGTCGAGATGACAAACTTCATTGTCCGGCATGGGCAAAACACGGATTTTGCGAAGATAACCCAGGGACGGCTCTCAGAATTTGTAAAAAGTCATGCAACGCGTGTAATGGCGGAAATACAGGTGAGTGAATAAATATCTACTCGGAGGTATTAAATCAGCAAAGTTATGACCCTATTTTCAAAATAATTGCAGTACTCTATTTACTCTCTATAAAATGCTGGAATCAAATTCAGAAGGACCATAACTTCCCCGTTCTTTACTTCTAGGATTGTCTAATTGCACCTTTGCAGTACCTGCATAGCTTAGTGTTGCTTTCTTTTTTGTTTCTTCCAAAAACACGCGGAAAAAACAAGGGACTTTCCACCTTTTTTTGTGTTGAGTTAAATGGGCTATAGCTTAACCTTTCCAGGGGATTATTGAAAAGGCATTATGACGGATAACCTGTGATGGGTGGGGGCGGGGGGATTCCATTTGACCATCGGGCGGGAATTATATCAGATATATATCTGTTTCGAAGTTAAAGTCTCAGCTTTTCCTCAAGTAAAGGGGATTTGATTATCGTTGACTGCTGCATGAGAAGATATTCATCATACGTTTTTGATGTGCTTATGTCCTTGTTTCTCTTTTTTTTCCTTGAAAACAAAATGATAGAAATATAATAATTCTTCACTTTCTATTCAGCCAACAACAGTTTAGCAAATACATGTACATTATAAGATGCGAGCACCTTTAAATTATAATATAAATGATACAATTATCTCGGATATTTGAATAAAGTGCGATATACTCTATATACATTCATATAAAAACTATGTAGAGTAGTCCCCCTTGGTTTGACGTGAGCTTACTTAAGCAAAGAAGCCGAAATGATACATTTTTCAATCGCATATGTACATCTTGTGGCGTAACTTAAATACATTATCCGGCTTTTGATATCTTATTAGTACACATGAATAAAATTAATTCTTATTTGTTTCAGAATGTTTTGATAAACATCAGCTATGTCCAGTGTGGGCTAGTGGTAACCAGTGCCAACGTAACGGAGGTTACATGTTACGAAACTGTCAAAAATCGTGCAGAGTATGTTGATTGTTAAAGAACATATAGACACAAAATGTTCTTCTGACGGGTGGGGTTATTTAAAGATCGTTTTGATTCTTTAATAATTGTGATGATTTAGAAGCCATTTTTACCGCGTGAATTTATCTTTTTAACACGTGGTATGGTTTGGTAATTAACTGGACACGTGACTTTGTTAACTAAAGATGGAAGTGAGAAAAAATGAATCGAATATTGGGAGAATGTGATATTGTACTGATTTATATCATTTGTTGATTGTTTAATATGCCAGATTGTTTATAGTTTTTATAGAAAGTGTTAGGGAGCGTATACATAAGAATGTTTGTAAATATTTGACACTATTATTGTTGTTGTTTCATTCAAATTTAAATTGTTATATGAAAGTATTTTTGATGTTATGATTAAACACACATTTAACACAGTAACATATGAATGTGGTGTCGTTTTATTTTCATACTTTAAATGACGATGAATTATGTAGTTTTTTCAAAGTATGAAACAGTATATTTCATGTAGTGGTAAACTCCATTTTACACGTGTTTCAGAAAAAAATAAGTTGGCTCTTGAATGTGATACTTAAATGTTGATCTGATCACTAATGCACATTGATCAAGTTTTTCATCACAATTATTTTTTGTATACTTTTTGTTTCGAGTATAATTTCTTAAGGAACGACGCGTTATTTAACGCTATTTGTGACCATTAAAATACAAGATGTAGAAATATTAAAATTTTTTTATATTTACCGCAATGTCTTCTTCAACGTTGAACGAACCAAACCATATTTGGAGATAATGTGAAACTTTGTACTTTAACTCTTGCCGCTTATTTTTTAAGCTTTCAAATGCCGTACTTTTTTTAGGCTTTTTTACAATCTGTTTCTATGGAACCTTGACTATTAGAAATGTTTTATTTTCATTGATTGACTTCTAAAAATAGCTTCGATATTGACCAATAAACACGTTATTTGATTTTAGACGGAAAAGCTGACCTTGAATTGTGCTTTTGACTTATTAAACAGTAATGTTCTTTCCTTAAAAATGAAATTTTTGCCTACATCTTAAAATGTATTTAAAACTATATTGAGTGAACGGTTTTCGGACGTGGCTGAATTTCGGCTGATGTACCCACGTTCAGTATTAATTTCATTGCATTAGTTTGATTTTAAAAAATGACCTTATGAAAAAATATACACATTTATTTTTTGTCCAGCAGTGATATACGATAAAAAATGTCGTGCAGAATTAATTCTGGAAAAGTGGAAATAAACAAAACAACAACATTTATATTTTTCAAATTTCCTAGCAGATATGTAAGACAAATAATAATAATTTCATGCTAGCAAGAAGGTGACTAATAACCTGGCCGTTATTTGAATGATAAAAACACATTGGAATTTAAAAAAGTCAAATAAATGCATTTTGTTATAATTTAAACGTTATTACTATTATTTTTTTTGTATATTTAAATCTTAACATAATGTATAATAAATGTATCAATCAGAAGAAATATAATTTATCCTTTTTTGAATGTGTTTATTGTATTTTTTGAGACCGTTTTATTATAAATTTGTGGAAAATAATTATAATTTTAAGCAGACTGCAATTTGAAGAAACGCGTGCGTCATGCATCAATCAGTACATTTATACATGGGTCTTGAAGCTCTACTTTCGAAGGAGAAGTGAACTTATAAGTTAGATATGAATGAATTTGATACAGTATAGGACACTTTTTACCGAGCTAAAAATACACGGAAAGATACAATCAAGTGAAGTCCACTTCAAACTTCTAAAAATAGCCCTGCTTACAATTACAAAAATACAATGATGAATTAAATGAATTATACCAGGTATATATATTAACGTATCTGATTATACAAAACATTAGAAACAGTGATCGTAAATGAATCGGAATTTTCGCGCTCTAATAATAATACGAACTGAACCTTATTTTGACTACCTTATTTATATCAAGTTAAGGAAACTAGACCGAAATACAGTCTATAACAGATACTAGCATTATTAGAAATAAAATCGTAATTGTATCAGGGCATTCTCATAAAATGCTTTAAAACTGATACAATAAAATATTTCCTCTCCGAGTTCTCTTCCTTGCCATAAAATGATCATTATGTCGCAAAACAACCACGTGGTTATCATAAATCGATTCGATGTCGTGACCCTCCTGGTGCAGCTTTATTATTTGGCATTGTTAAATGTTGGAAGACTTTAATTTCTTGTCATTCTATTTGAATGAAATGCAGTTTATGATACGCTAATAAAATCTTCGTGTGTCTGAATTAAAATTTAATTTCTGTCTTTAATTCCACGGTAAAACTCGTGTTGATTCTTGTTGAATCGTCAAAATGTTTTACTGTTTTCCAAACACATCATTTATTCAGAGTGATTGTTATTGTTTGTCCTCGTATCATATTTTATTATCCCATTGCAGACGACATTTATGCGCCATATCACGTGATGTCATTGTGCAATTAAAAATAAACGAATACAAGCCTTGTCATTTTCGGATTGATGTGTCATTGTAACAGCGCACCGGTCATTTGTTACTGGACTATGTACAAGTATATAACCATGCATGTCTAGCCCCTATCACCGAATCCATTACGCAAGAGAAAACGAATCCATGTCCGTTTGAAAACATGCATTTTTATGTGCATTCAAAGATTTGAAACAATTGAAATGATCGGCACTGATGTTTTGAATTGCAAATGGCGGTGCTAACATACAGCAATATGTTCCTAACTTCCCATTACTGATATCACTAGAGCAAAACGACCTATTAACTCATGAAAGCTAAATATTATCTTGTTGCCTTTTAAATATCTATTATATATGAAAACGATGAATCTACAGAATTAATTTGACTTTTTAGAGTAGTTTACATGCATTCATATTAAAAAAGTCATTGCAGAACACATATTAATCCATCTATTATGGTTATACCATAAAACTAGAGACATTTCGGCAAATCACCAGCAATAAACATGTGAATTAATGACAAACGTAAACTTTTATTTATTCATCAAATTTCTTTGTTCTGTATAGAAGTTATAAAAACAAATACGATAATAAATCTAGCACATAATATTACACGTGGTGGTGCTTATGAATAAAAGATAAACGTTTGCAAGCGTTTGAATAAAACGCCGTGCTCTGATTTCAAAAACCTTGTAAAACGATAATACAATGTTTTCGATACGATAAAGCATTAATCACGTTTAAACCCGTGTATACTTAAATGTCAACAAATCAATCTCTTGTTAAAACTATGTTAACAATAATTTGATTCTGTAATACGGACGGGTTGTTTCTATACAATGTAAAAAATGAATAATTTACAAATGAATCTGCTTACGGTATCAAATCATGAGAAAGTTAATTGATTATAATCGATGTTTCACATGGTTGAAATGTTTCTGTGGCAGATCGAATGAACATGTTGAATTACAGCCCCCTAAAACAAAGGGTGTGTTGATATTTTATGACCACCCTGTAGTACAATGCCACTTATAAGGAAGGAAAAAAATGGCGATGCGTGTATTTCTTTTTATTATTGTTTGGCAATTATTTTGAAAAATAGGGCCATGACTTAAACCTATTGGATTAGTAAATATGTGGTTCACAAGAACAAATCAACTTTTACAAAGGAAAATATTTAAAAGGGTGTAGACAAATAATAAAAAAAGATGAAAAGCGAGCTTAGTTTTATTATTTTAATGAAGCAATTAAGCAGAAGATACTAAAGTATGAAAATCGGTATTTCTAAAAAATTTATAACGTTTTACAAAACAGAACTGTTTTTCATTCAATCACATGAAGTTGGTGTTTTTTTTTATATAAACATGGCCGGCTGGTTCCCAAAGTTCCCGAAATTATTCGCATTTTGCGAACTTATATGCATAAATACATCTTCTAAACTGATAGTACCGTCTGCGGCAGGAATTATAGTGTTGTGTTGAAGGTCCTGCACGGCCGGTGATCCTTGCACATTCGCTGTTTGTTCATTTGTAAACACTCCAGGAACAATCGGTGTTTCGGTAGGAATCACTGCATTAGCTAAAGGACCTATGTTAATAGCGGCTTGAGAAGCAACTGCTGTATCGCTTACCCCGGTGTTAAGATCAACAGTATTTGACCCGCTAACTGCGCCGCTCACTGTGGGATCTGTAGTCGACGCATTAGCGGCTTGTGCAGCTTTTGCGGCCTGTTCTTTTTGTTGTTTCTTTACATACTGCACAGCTCTTCTGATAATTTGTGCGTCCAATGCACTATTGTCTAGTTTTTCTATTTTCGTGCCGCCCGGAAGTGTCTCTGTGATCGTAAATTGTTTAACTAGTTCCGGTATATCACGTGCCATTTTCTTCATCATGCCTAGATAGGCGTCTCTCTCGGCTTGTGTTTTAGGTTGCCCTCCAGCTACCAGGGCGTAGTTTATAAGGTCCATTGAGGGTGTGGCTGACGGGTGGAGAACGAACTGTACGAGCTGTGTAAGATTTGCTCTCAACTGCCTCTCGGTAGGCGTGATATAGCTTACGTCCTGGCATTGCACTTAAAGAAAAAAAATGTAATTGATATTATATACTTAGTACATGGCAATGTTAGTGTTAAAGTGAAAAATCAAAACAAATAATACAAAAATAAAACATTTGAGCCTACAATTAAGAGGAAATCCGATTTAAAACAATTTCAGAAATGTCCACTGTTGTTTTTTTGTTAAAATTTACAAAGCAATAAAAATGATTGTAAGATACTTTTTTAATCCACATGGAAGATCATTTTATAAGGTACATGAATGGCATAAGGTACACCATAGAATAACATTTAATAAAGCATGAAATAAAAAAACATATACAGGCACACAAGAACTTCAAACAGATACAGGAATGAATGGAAGTTATTTTATATAAATTTCGACACATTTTGAGATTTATTCATCAAATATCAGGTCATTCTTAATTCACATATAAACAGTCATTTGATATTGGAAATATGGTAAAATATAAATGACAAGTATTATGCTAAAATAAATGATTACGATGCTTTCTGAAACAAATTTCAAAGTATATGTATCATGTCGGCGATAATATTGTAGATTTAATCTTATTTGCTGAATTAAGAAACCCCATAAGATTTAATAAAAAAATAAAAATTGTTAAAAGCAGATTTTTTAAAGTTAAGAAAATAAAATTAAATTACCCGATATAATTGTTGCTAATGCAACAAGTACGGTTATCGTTAATCCGTGAGATATCGCCATAGTTATTGACCACTGTCCCGACGTTTTGTGAACGTTACGTTTGACATAAAGGCAAGGTAATGCAAACTGTTACGGCTTTTAACGTTGTCCAGACGTCAAGATGTCATGTGCGTTATTGAATGATTGACGTAAGTAATTAAATCATAGGTTATAATTACGTTTTATGTAATTGTACAGACTGCGTTTATTCTTCGGTTAATTATTTATGTTGGCATGACTTTTCATGACCCTCTTTTATGCAACATTTCATGCAATTGTTTAATGCAATAAAATGCCTACATTCTTTTTTCTTTTATTCAAATGCTGTTTCTTTTATTTTCTCAATAAACAGGACACCGTTCATTATTATAATCACATAGCTATATGTATGCTTAAAACCCGAGAGTTTTATACATGTACATTTCTTTTTACAAGTATTAAAAAAAAATGAAAATTACTGAAATAAATGTGTTCGCTAAATGCAATGGGTTAAATATCTAGTGTATCCTATTCAAGAGATATCGCCCCCCCCCCCATTTCATTAAATGGCTGATATTTATATATGGAAGCACATAATGCCCCTAATTGAAACCAAAATAATACTAACAATAATTAAAAAACAAAAGATAAAGGAATAAAAATTTACACCGTAATGGGTTTGGAAGTTTTTGGGATGCAACCTATATCTAATCATTACCGAGTGTTCTGATGTAGCTACAGGGATTTGTTACAATATAAAGAATCAATCGGTGTCGTTTAGACGCACGCACGGCGATTCTAATACCTCCCGATGGATGACGGCGCTTCTTTGGATTTCACAAATAGCTGGAAATATTAGCACTTGTAAAATTCCATGGTCTTCTCACGAACCTCTTTCACAGCTCGTTCAGGATTTGTGATGTATCTAATGTGACAATGGCACACGTTCAAAACTGGCGTATTCAAAATAATTACCATACACCGCAGCGGGAAGTATACATGGATAATTAAGTAGAAATAGATTTGGCAGACTTACACATTGTCAATATCTTAAATGCATTTCGAAGGAAAAAAGTTCCATACCTGAAATTCGATCCTTCAGTAGGATACATGTTTGATGTATTTAGAAGCGGAAGACAGCTGTGAAGTTGAGACGAAAGCAAAATGGTCTTTTTGAATACATTTACGTAACAAATCGATTTAATTTGACAGTAATAACTTTGTTAATGGGCAAAATTCTGCATAATCGCCCGATCGACTTCTTGTCAGCTATTACTTGCTCACGTGCTTTACCGGAAGCCGCTAACATAGAGAAACAATCAAACCGAGGCTATCTCCGCGTGCAGAACCGGAAGTGTAAGGTTGAGAAAATGATTTATATGGTTTATGTTACAGATTTGGTTCAAACAGAGCAACTCAAGGCAAATGTGCATTTATATGATAATATCTTAACTACCTCGTGCCGATTGTTTAAAATCCTTTCAAGAGAGTCGATAACTAGTTAATTTAGAAATAATAACCTTAAATGTTCAAGTAATGGCGTATAATATCCCGTTTCAGATAATACATTTGATTGATCGACCACCGGTTTTTTACCCTTTTTAACATTACGTAGCATGTTTTATTACTTTATAATTCATGCCATAAAACAAGAGGAGGTTTCTAAAACGCGATGAAAATACACTAAAGTGTGTTCTAATTTTTTGTGAAGCTTTCGTTTTGGATTATTACAGAAAGTGAATCAAATTACTTTTCTCATTTAACCGTTGGTGCTATTTCCTTTTGCTTTAGTATTGATCTGTAAACTGCTTTAAAGGTAAATTTTACATAATAGAAAAAAACATTTATTCGTGTAGTAGAAAACAAAAAGAATAGATATGGACAAAAGTCATTAATGTTGAATAGTGTAGAACTAGTTATTGTCTTTTGTTTGTTTATCATTACTATGTTGTAAAGGTATAGGTGTGTGGTTGCATTTTATTAAACTCCCTCTTTAATGAACTTATTCCTAGATCCAACATGTCGAGTTTTACACAGAAAAACCTCAAATGCAGGGGAAAAAAACACCTACTCGTTTATATCATTATACCTACATTTGAGTCATAGATAGATATAAAATGTAGATATAAAACTGTCATTAATGTGATGAAGCTATCAGATAGAGCGGACCTGACAGAATCTTGTCATTTTTATATTTTTATCACAAAGTACTTTGATAGCACGAAATCTATTAGTTTGCTTGTTGTTTGTGGGTATTTTAAGGTGAATTTTGGGTAATATTATATTATACGATCTAAGGCTAATTTCAAGCCACAGAAATTCCACATTTTATGACGCCTGTACTAATTAACATAATGGTAAATTATAATACATGTATTGTAGATAAAGTGTGAGAAATCTGTAACATCTTAAATGCACATAGCTTTGCAAATGGTACGGAATACTTCAATAATAAATTATAAATAAAATATAAATTAAATAATAAATAATAAATTAAATATTTTCTTCTGATGAGGAAAGAAATATAAGGAAAATATCAGAGAGATTCCTATTTTCAAGCGGAACTGACTGGGACTTTTCATCACTTAATTTGATATTTATTTTGTAATTGTTGAAGAAAAAAAAACACTTAAAAAACAAATCCGAATCTAAATCATATGTGGTATCATAAGAATTTCAAACTTATCTTTCTGTTTATATAACATATTTTACCATTTATCTTTCTCAACTTTTACAACTGAGTATAGCCCATACTTTTCAAATTCATAAATATTTGTAACAATATACTTGCGCAAAAGTAAGTTTCTTTCTTCGAGCTAGCTATGAGAATATTCGCTATTGGCGGCGACATTTAGTCTATAATCAGAAAAAAATACATTTGCAAAATTCTAGCATTATTGATTTGTTAATAATGATGAATCAAATCTTTGATTGTTACATTATAAATATTTTTACTGAAATTTCTTATTTATTTTAATCACTTGCTACATGAACGCGAAATTGCTCCTTTATTTTTTACAATAATATTGAATTTCTCCACTTATAATGTGCAATGTTTAAACATGTTTTGAGCGGTATAAACTTATGGATGGACTTACTGAATGGATCTTAAGAAATTAACTGTCTATTTTGATGTTGTTTAATGTGCAATTAATTTGGATTGATTTTATACACACGACATTGATACCTGTGAAGGCTTTTTACTGAAAACACATAATCGGCCAGCTTTTTCATTTACGTGTCAATCAACACCACCTCACGCCGAGCTTCCCTTTATCATGATAAATTGTATTTTTATTGCAGCAAAAAAGCGACAAGGCTAGGTCAAGTTTGTGTGTAGGGTCAGCTGTGGAGGAAAACAGTTGAACTCGAGAGTTTGTTTTACATAAGCTTATAAAATTATAAGTTTTTTTTGCAGGCGTTTGCATTTCATAAATTTAATAAATATTTAAAATATCACTAGGAACTTTACTTCGTGATGATCTTTGCCTGGTAATTTACGCATTGTCTTATTAAAGTGTCAAATAAAAGAAAAGAAGACAGCTGGGCCTGGAATTTTAGCATCAGTAGGTCCCGTTTAGTAGTAAAACGTAAAATCTACAGTAAAAGATACAATTTCATCAAATTGAACAACATAAATATGAACATTAACTTTCCTCTGTACGAAAGCGAGGCATTGTGACATTGAAGCATGCACAATACAAAAAAATTAAACATTAAAGCAAGGATTTCCATTATATTGAGGTGATTTCATACTGGCTTTATCAATGACTTTGACCTCATGCACTCATATGGACAAGTACGCCAAAAAGAAAAATAAATAATTACATATACTTGTAGTAATTGATAACATAGTAACGTTATAGTACAAATTGTTATATATGTCATTAATTATATATTTCATGGTATATAAATATGTGTTGCATTTTGCCGAGTGCTTTTATGCTTATAATAAAGATATCAAAGCCATTAATTTATTCACGAACAAAATCGAACAGATATAAATCTATAAATCTTCCGACATATACATGTATATGAAACGCCACTTTAACCAGATTTGGCCTGACAATTGAAGCACATGCAAGTTGCTCTTAAGTGGCGATGTTGTGATTCAAAAGAGCTTCTAAGCAATTATTTCGTCATCAGGATCAATTATGAAGTCATTAGTGAGCACATAAAAGATAGGACTGCCATTCAAAATGATTTCATTAATTTATTTCGAAAAACAAGCAGTCTGTTTGATGATAGAAAATTGTCTGTTCATGCGCGCCTAACATTTCCGGAAAACGGAAGTGATGGAGAATATCCATGGCGGAAACTGGTATACCGGAAGTACGTCTAGTCTTGTTGCATGTTGGGTAATTTTAGAAAATAAGCATAATTATATTTAATTTTAGGTCACAAGCACATAGGTTACTGTAACTGGTTCTGTAAAAACCGATATCACAAGAATATATTACATTGCTTGGTATCATTGTAAATTCACTCGAAAATGAATAAAAATTTTGGTTTATAGATATAATGTGATGGAACAAATGTTCTTGAATTCGATTATGATATTTAAATATGAAACCGCATATAGATAAACAATTACACAAGGTGCTTCGCTTATGAGGAACACACTATCTACTTCATCGAGCTTTTACATTTAATATCAACATTCGAAATATTACCATATACGAATTTAACAGTATAAATGTCAATGCATGATGATGATAATAATATTAATAATAATAATAATAATAATGATAATAAAATAATAATAATAATAATAAAATAGTAATAATAATAATAATAATAATAAAAATAATAATGATAATAATAATAATAATAATAATAATAATAATAATGATTATAATAATAAAAGTAACAATAATAATAACAACAATGAAAAAATATAACAGCAAAAGATGTCTTTACAAACTTTGATGTTCATACTCTGTTTCTACAAGGGATACAAAATGTTTTTCGAATACAAGATCTTTTATTCAATCAACTTAGACCTATTCTAATTTTGGTCGCAGGTTGCTACCACATGTGCTCCATTTTGTTTATTATAGTGCTGCTATAGTAAATGCAAATAATAACTGA